CTGTTCCAGACGAGCTCGGTATATGAGGGGATAAGTTATTCGCCGTTCTACTGACTTGAACTTGGATCTGTACTCGAGGCTTTCGGGTTAGCAGTCCAGCTCTCTACCTCTAGGCCACGCCGTCCCATTTCGGCAACACCCTACCATAACAATCAGAGTTTCTTCCAGGCTTCTCTTCGGGAGGGGGGATTTTTATATAAAATATATACTTTTAACAGTGTCCGCCCCACCCCCCTCCCCCCGAAAATTTCAAGTACACCCCCAGAGAAAAAAGTCCGGAAGAAACACTGATAACAATATATCTACACAAAAATATGTGCACTCACAAACAGCTCCACCTACCCCTCCACTAACCCAATCCCCAAAAGCTAGCCTCTATAATTATATAATATAAATTATATCTTACCAATCATCAGGGCAATCGATCGGCACAATAAAGTATTGCGCCGTGCTTTCCTTTTCTTGATAAAACTGCGCATTTCCGGATTGGTTTTGGCTAATTCCTGGGCAGCTTCCTTATAATAATAGTCTACTAGAAAATTCAGATGGTTTACATCACAGGAATACTTGGCCTTATCATCTGCTCGGGTTTCCTGCTTTTCTACTTCACTTAAGCAAAATTTCAGACGTTCCATTTGCCTTTCAAGTTCTGATAATTCATACCAAGATCTAGATCAAATCAAAAGTGGAATTACGGGACGAATTACGCTGATCACGGCTACAATTAAAAAATAACTAAACAAATCTGCGGAATCTAGTGTGGTGTGTATTCTTACCTTTCTGTGGTCCCATCAGCACCATCCAACATCAACATCAGCAACACTACAACCAGAACTTCTACAAATCAAATAGAATAAAATAAAACAGCTTTTCAAAATTTAAAATATACTATGCCAAATAACACATTTAACGTTTTATTAACTGTTTCTGTTACCAGCCTAGTATATATATATATATATATATATATATATATATATATATATATATATATATATATATATATATATATATATATATATATAATTAGCCGTTATCGGGTAGGCGTTGCTCTGGTTATATATAGTGATGTCCAAAAGAAAAAGTCAACATAGATATGCATGTGTTTTAAGAAAAATTAAAAAGCATTACATAAAGTTAGGCTGACAACAGCAACACCACGTGATTCTAATAATAAACCTAAACATGAACTACCATTCCGCACCATTACGGGTCGTTACACAAATACAATAAATAAAAGAGTCAAGCTACTAAACAGAAAATTGCTTGTTACTTTTACTCTCCTGGTGGGCAGCAACCACACACACACACACACACACACATATATATATATATATATATATATATATATATATATATATATATATATATATATATATATATATATATATATATATATATATATATATACTTATATATACATATATATATATATGTATACATATATATATATATATATATATATATATATATATATATATATATATATATATATATATATATATATATATATATATATATATATATATATATATATATATATATATATATATATATATATATATATATATATATATATATATATATATATATATATATATATATATATATATATATATATATATATATATATATATATATATATATATATATATATATATATATATATATATATATATATATATATATACATATATATGTGTGTGTGTGTGAACTGAACAACTAATGAAAAAAAGCAATTACAAAACAAAGTAAGAAAAATTAAATCATGCATTGAAACAACAGTGTGAATAAAGAAAAGTAAGCGATGTAGCCAGCGTTAAACTAACGATCTGGACTTACTGGGGAAGACATTTGTTTGTGGTCTAGAGTTTGGTGACCTCCCCCAACTGGCACAGGTGAGAGGTACGGTCGTTGATCTCCACAAATAGCTCATTCCTTCAATGGTGTCCTCGGTCTGTTTTTGATGGAGGAAAAGGTGGTGGATTAAGGCAATAAATAAGACAATGAACCCGAGACATTCCATAAGACAATGAACCCGAGACATTCCATAAGACAATGAACCCGAGGTATTCCATAAGACAATGAACCCGAGGTGTTCACTGGCAGCTAAGAATCAACAATACAGATCTAGATTGAAAACTAACCAAAGAGACTGTACAGAAAGGATATCATTACTTTTAAAGTACCTGCTGATGTACACTGTATCAAGTTTGTACTCTTTTAGCACCTGCTTAGGTACACTGTATTATCTGATATACTGTACAATGCCTTTATCTTGACATAACTAGCACAATAGCAGAAAGAGCCAGATGTTTGTATGAAAGAGAGCCACACAATATCTGGGTGTATTTACAAGAGTTCTGCCTGATCGTCTGCAGAGAACGTCCTAGAAGCCTTTAAGTTATATCTAGTTATAATGATTAAAAGAAAAAAAAACAGAAAGTTAACCAACCAGCTGACCTAACTAGATCTAGACTAGATCTAGAGACAAATCTAGATCTAGGTTTTATATCTATATCTCTATATATATGTAACGATCAAATTAATCAGTTCCTATTAACAAGAAAACAATAGATCTAGGGAACAACCACCTACATAATGCATAAAGCCAAGACTTAATTAAACCAGCGGCAGTAAAACGCATCAAACTTCCGACTTAAAATGATATCGTTTAGCAAGAAAAACAACTTCTTTATCTATGACGTCATAAAGTTTTTTTTTTTTGTTTATTTAAGTATAGGACTATTTTCGCTACATAAAATACTTTTGAATAATGCGATATTAAAATAGCAATAAATAAAATATACATGAACCTTTTTATATTGTCTCAAGCTTTGAACAATAGAATTACAGTTGGAACAATTCGATTCAGTTAGCCCATGATGCCTTGTCTAATGGCACTACATCAAAAATATTTATTTAAAAGAATAAAATAATTTTTGAAAATAAATAATAAATATGAAATGTTGCAATAATTTATGTAATAGACGGTCTATGTTGGAAAATTTTAAAAAGTGAGTTTCCTTCATAAATGCGCTGACATTAAAATAAAAACATGAGTAAAAATAATCTCAACTAATGTCAAGGTCAATGTCTTCTTGGAAGCAAGCGCCCTGGGTATATTGTCAGTTTTAAGTTTTTTATAGGCTTGACATTTTAACGGTGTAGCCTAAATTCAGGCTCATTTTCAAAAGCCAGTTAGTAATTGTTTGTGGTTAATTAGAGACACATTTTAAATCGCGTGACTTGTCATTAGCAGGCATTTAGGCTGCAAGGGACAGGCGGGCATTTTAAAAGTTGACGTCCGGTCACCCACAGCCGATTGCTGCAGTCTTTGAATGCTCAGACCGCCTGACGGAGCGGAACGTGTCGTCTAGTCCTGCGAGAATGGCCACCATCTGTGTTTGAGTGCTATAGCACTGTTAGGGTCGTGTATCTGTGGATTCGATCTAATTGAATATCCTGATAAGTTCTTCTCTCATGACCACTGGAGGCCTTTCGTCCTGCAACTGGTCAGATGGAAATACTCATTCAAGAAAGGAATTTCCTTGACACAAGAGCTTACGAGATGTCGAGTCCCTAGAGCACCTTGTTGTCTGTGGAAACCATATAAGTCACCTGATGTCAGCCTTCATCGTTTATGAACAATTTACCCGGCTGGTTGGGTCAGGCTGCTTACATAAAAGGATATTTGATCGCCCACTGATTGGGGGCTGTCCATTAATTTCGCACTTTTGATCGATTTAATTTCCCCCGTGTCGAAAAAATGTTGCGGAATAGTATATGTAGAACCCCCGCACAATCAAGGAGAACGGTACACCCTTGACAGAACACAGAGTGACCAACTCAGTCTAGCGAATGTTTAGGACAACAGCTCCAAGATTACACCTGTCATTTGTTCATGATTCGTGATATCACTTTTTCTGGGGAGTTGGTACCAAAAAATACAAATATTGGTAGTACTGGTGGATTTGCAGGGGGACGGGGTGGGGGAGCCTGTCTAATTGCTCTGATAGCGTTAATCTGGTGTAGTGTTATCTGATGTGTAATGTGGTTTACATTTTGTTGGTGCGATATCTTTGAATCCAGGTACCAGAACAGGGATCCAAACAGGGCTGTGAAGCGAAGATAAATACTGTAACAACACGTAATATCCCTTGTTGCTGTGGGTTCGTTTTTATACAAGACTTGTATCAGTATCAAAACGAACGCACAGCAACACAAGAACACGGGCATTAGTAGAAACTTCAAACTATAAACTTTATTAACAATTTATAGAGTGAAATGATAAATCCATAGTAAATCCATAGTAGAAAATAAACAACAGGTACAAGTGCAGTCACGAATCAAAGTGACGTGGTGGCATCCTACATTCACAGTTCCCCCTTACGGTCCATTCTCTCCCCTTACGTCAATGAGCGATCTCACCCAAAAGCATGGAAAAATATATGACGAGTCGCTCAGACAGTCCTTCAGTAAAGCACAATATAATAAACATACCTAATTATACAGTCTGTGACAAATACAACTATTATTAGCCCTCTGAGGCCCAAATTATGTTGCAACGGTAGGAAAAATAGTTCATTTGGTGTACATGCATACTTTTAGGATAGAAATCAATATCAATCATAAAAAAAATACAATTTTGACCGTGACCTACTTTTCCAATTCGTTCCACTGGTGACCCATTGGCCTTTAGAGGTTATGAAAATACAATTATTCTTACACATAAATATTTAAAATGATACACTTGTTTTAAACTTTATAATACTTTATTTTAATTTTGAACATTTCAATCATTCATGAGCTAAAATGAAACTCCCTGAAGCAGTTTCTTTTCTCTGTGAAACAAAGAAAAACATTACACTATTCACAAACATTGTTTGTTTAAAGGCTGCACAATCTGCATCGTTGGCGATTGTTATTTTTTATTATAAAATGATTGTAGCCATCTGTTGCTATTTGTGGATTGGGCAGAAGTGTTTGCAGTCGTCTTCTTTTTACAAGGTTTTCTTTACTGCACTCTGCAGATGGCCGCCCCCGTTTCCTTTCACTGGAGCTAGCCTGGCTTGAAATTTTCGCTGGTTCATTGTGACCAGTTTTGAATATCCAAGCAGACCAGTGACACGATAAGAAAGCCAGGCATTCACAAGCATCATTCTAATGGTCTGCCAAAAAATGTGCATGTACCACCGCTTGGACTTAATGCGGTAGGAATTTTCGGCCACACAACAATCATGAAGGTCTACCCCTCCCATGTTTTCATTGTACAGTTTTATACCTGCTGGCCTCTGTACTGGGACATACATTGATTTGGATTTTTCAAATCGACTAACTGGATTTCTGGGATCTGTACCAGAGAATGTAGATAGTACATTGACAGCTCTTGTGTCGTACCAACGAACAGCGACTATTTTAGTGTTTTCTATGGACTGGTCCTTAGTACCACGGCCTTTTTTCTTTATTTCAGCCTCATTCTGAAGATTGATTCCTAGTATACGGTTAGGTCTGACTGTGCCTGTATAATGAATACCTAGCTTCTGCAATTCAACTAAAAGAGCCATACCTGCAAAAAGTTATCTGCTTAAATTTTATAATTGAATGAGGGTTGTCCAGGTACATTTTGTGGCAAAGATGAACACAGCTTTTCTCCACACTGTATTGATTAGCCATTTCAACTAGAAGATCTAACATGTCCTCAGTCAGAAATTCTTCAAAGAACTGCAGAGGAGATGGCAGTTCATAATGGTCTGGAACACGGGTTCCCAACCAGGGGGTCGCGACCCCCCTGGGGGTCGCGAAGGGCTTTCTGGGGGGGTCGCCAACTGGTATACTAAACCTTAGTAATTTGAAACAAAACATAAATATTTAGAAGAATTTTTGAAATTCGGCTTTACAAACATCACTGGAAGAAGCAAATCGTACTGTACAAAGTTGTTCTCAGTCACGAGTTTATGAAATCTTCAAAACTAAAACGTCATTTGAGACGAGTCATTCGAAATACACCAAAAAAGATATGGAGTTCTTTCGTCGGCATGAAGCTAGTTGCAAACGTCAGAGACTTGATCGAACAGGAAGTTTTCACCAAGGAAACTCATGATTAGTGCAAGCATCAAATAAAGTCGCCACAGAAAATGCCAAGCAAAAAAAAAAAAAAAAACAATAGGAGTACATCCCATCAAACGCTGCATGTTGAAGATGGTTAAGTTAATTCTTACACGTCCGTAGATGTTAAATAACACATTTTTTTATTGAAATTAAGCTTTCACCATTGTTTGCTTTTCAAGTTGATAAATCAACAGACGTGAGTTCGTGTTCGCAGTTGCTGGTCTTTGTCTATATTTATTCAGATGATAGTAAAGAAGAGTTGCTCTTTTGTGAAGGTAGCATGGAGAAAATAAAAACGTTTTTTATTTTAATTGGATTATTTTAAAATGGGTTAAAACGGCTGTAAGGTTTTGTACGGATGGTGCACCATCTATGTTTAGGTAAAATCGGGCTTTCAGAAAGCAGAAAATATTTAGCTCCCTAAGGCCTAACCACTGCTCTCACCAATCGCCATCAAGACTCCATTGCTAGTATAAGTCGTAAATTATATAAAATCTGGAGCCTTCAAAGAACTGAGCAAAAACATTAATATAGATTTTCTACACTACAGTGCGCTGGCTGTCAAACGAATTGTTGTAAATCGTGCTTTTTAATTGAAATCTGAAATCAAATTGTTCTTGGAAAAGCAAAGGAAACAAGACTTTTTTTTTACTTAAAACGACATAGAGTGGTTGGAGAGAGTATCATACCTAGCAGATGTGTTCGAACATCAAGATAAGCTTAACCTGAAGCTTCGTGGAAAATGAACGAATATTATCACTTTCCATGATAATCTCGGGGCATTTTTATCAAAGCTGCAAAATCGGCGAAGAAAATAAAATCTTGGAAATATTGTACATTTAAGAAACTCTGCAGTGTGGTAGATGAATCTAATTGTGAGATAATTGCAATTTTGAAAGAAGAAATTTCTGGGCATCTTGAATCTATTGAAAACGAACTGCAGCGCTATTTCTCTGAGCTGAAAAAAAAAGAATCTGCATTGACGCGATATCCATTCTCTTCTTCCCTTGATGTTGCCAGCATTTCCGATAAATTACTAGATGAATTCTTTGATTTGTAGAATGATTCCGCGTAAGATGAAAAACTTCAGACACAATTTTGGTGTAGTATTAACCATTTATATCAAAAAAATAAAATTGATTGACTTTTCGAGAATACAATTTTATTTTGAACACTATTTTTCGATTAAAAACACAATTTACTCATGGTATTAAAACAGTTATCAAAAGTAGTTCATATTGAAAGTCTACTAGAAAATCTTATTTTAGTGCTTATTAATTTCCATACTAATTTCGGCTTTTTAATTCTATGGGGGTCGCGGGTCCTTAATTTTTATAAAAGGGGGTCGCCACTCGAAAAAGGTTGGGAACCACTGGTCTGGAAGTTGCAGCTTTTCACCTCTGAAGATGACATCAGGTGGCTCAAATGTTTTGTGCCAATGATATGTTTTTTTTTGTTTTAACTGACTGGAGTTTCTAGCAACTTATTCTCATCTGAGTCTGGTGTATCTGCAACACCAACTATTTCTTCATTGTCATATTCATTTGCTAAGGTGTATAATTCATCTTCATCATCAGTGGATGACACTTCATCTTCTAAGTCGCTTTCATTATGGTTAATAGTGTCTAAAATGTTCAATACTTCACTTGTAGTGTAGAACATCTTAAAGGAATGTGCCATTCTGTTAAGAAGAGAAAACAATAATTATTTACAATTTTAAAAAATACATTCAAATAGGCCCTATTTATTTAAAATAATCACTAGATCTAGGTAGATCTAGAATCTAGAACTAACATTCTAGATGCCTAAATTGTGTAAATAAAACCATATCTTGCTAAAAAAATAAAAATAAAACTATTTTTTTGTTTGTATAAATAAAACAACATAAACCATATGACAATTTCAGAATTTGGTTACATTGTGCTCCAGTAACCATTAAAGCCCACGGGGGCCACTGGGTCACCAGTAACCCAAAAAATTTTGAACGTCTAAAACTAAAAATTAGCCGTACTTTTTATTAATATTGACATTTAAAGTTTTTAATTAATATATTTTAAATTTAAAAAAAAACGTAAAAAGTATTTATAACTTACCTAAAATGATGTTTTTATTCTTCAAAAGCAAGTCGTAAATTGTATTTTTAAAGCTGCATGGGAGCCACCATTTGCAACAGGGAAATGACTTAGTAATATTAAAAATAAGACAACAGAATTAACTCCCTTGTGTACCACAGTATGAACAATGGGCTTTAGAGGTAAAAAATATTTTAAAAATGCATTTTGTAAAAAAGTGTGAAGCTTTCAGCCAGGTGGGTCACCGGTGACCCGGTGGGCCTCAGAGGGTTAAGAAAGGATATTAGGAGACTCCCTGGAAAGTAAAGGCAAGCCACAACCAGACATGACTATTAACTAGTCATTTTATTTTTTTTGTACCTTAAAAGTAAGTGATTTTAACTGATGGTCACAGCGAATTGGGGTCAAGACAATATTTTTGAACTAGGTGGGGTGGGCAGAGCCGGCGTTAGGGGTACGCGGGGCCTATGGCCAACCATCCGCGCGGGGCCTTATATTTTTTTCATTGGTGCATAATTAAATAAAACATGTACAGTGTGGCGTTTTTTTTTCTTCTCAACGCGAATTAATATTAAAACGATATATATATATGGTATTTTTAAGCTGCTTATCAATGTCGTATTAACATTAAGACACTGATTAACAAATAATTTGTTTACTTAGAAGTGCTTTTGAAACATTGCTTGTTTCTGTTAAGGCTTTTTGTTTGAAAAGTAAAAAATAAAACAGATATAAGTTTGAGACACACATTAAAGAGACGATGAACGTCAGCATCAAACCTAATTTCTTTTTTACATTTATGTTTATTTATGAAAATCTTACCAGTACTTTCACAAACGAAGATCTAATTGTCTTGCCTTTCGTGAGGAAAATTCCATTATTATATCATCATAGTCCATACTGGAGGCTATGTCTTTTTCTATTTTTCTATCCTCGCTTTTGATGCACCTGATTCATACTTGCGAAACCTATCTCTGTCTCTTGTAGCCATGGTGTAGAGGAAAAATGGTGAAATCACTTTGAAGCAACGTTAAATCGGTCCACAGTGGCGGGTGATAGTATCAATATTTTCTCAATTTATCGAGTGTTAACAGTGGCATTCAAAGTGTGTGGATGCCGGGGAAAATAGCAAAACATTAATAGATTTCGGAATAAGCTCGAATCGTGAAAAACACTGTTTACGGCTATAGATATCCAAATTAAATGACTCAAATGTAATCACGGACGCTCAGTAAGGTGGAACACTGGGGGGGGGGGGGTGACAGTTGGTGGGGTGAGGTGAAGGATAACTGTACATTTAAATCTATGGGATGCCAAACCCTTAAAAGAATCAGTTCGGGTACTAAGTTACTGGATCTCTGACCGCAGCCATTCAAGAGAAGGTGCGTGTTTATAGAGCGTCCGCGTATTACATTACAGATTAAGACCGCGTTCTCACAAGAGAAGGTCCATTTAGGGGGGTGACACCAAGGCAAAAAATTGCAAAATATATAGAGAAAAACTTGAGGGGGTGCAAATCGAAAGTTTGAGGGGGGGGGAGGGGGGGTGCAAATCGAAAGTTTGAGGAGGGGGGTGCAAATTTTGAAAGTTTGAGGGGGGGGGGTGCAAATCGAGAATTTGCAATTTTTTTTCCCGGGAAGGGGCATTCCCCCATCAGCTCTCTCCCCCCCCCCCCCTCCTCCTCTGCAAGCCATCATCAGGTCACTGACTGTTTACTACAAGCACCCCCGTCTGCTCACTAAAAAAACGTCTTTAACGGTCCGCAAACAATAGGGGTATCTGTTTACGTTTCTCCCGATTTTACCTCCCATGTCAGGTCGGGGGCTAATTCGCGACCGCCATCTCCAGTCACCTCAGGACAATAGCGAGTCGACCGTTCCAGCGATGTGTGACACTAATGTCTTTCTTTAGAATAGCGGTCTGTCCCAGTCCATATAGAGGATAACTCACTAACATCAGCCGTGGCCTCAGTTTTAACATCCAACAATTTCGGCCATTTAGTTGTTTTTTTTTTATTTTATTCAGCAAAGATTATTTAAGTTTACAAACTAATTCAGGCAACAATGGCGTTGCTGAAGCGCGGGGCCCCTTCAAGCGCGGGGCCCTGGGCGACCGCCCCGTTTGCCACCCCCTAACGCCGGCTCTGCATCTTGGTCCACAGACAGCAGCCTTGCGTGTGCGACACGGCTAGGCACATGTCACATGACATGGAACACAGGTACATCGCTCACAAAAGCATAAAAAAACAACGTCAACAGTTCAGTTGCGGTCCCACAGTCATATTTTTATCCCCCTTTGGCTTGTAACCATATGTGTTACATGCACAATGCCATTGAAGTATTAGTTTTAAACAGTATGTTTAATATCATAGTGGTTATTTGTTTGATTTGTTGTATTTTTCAATATTGAAATAATTTTTAAAAGTATTTTATAACTTCACTTAGATTAGCCTTGTAAACTTGCATAAATTAATACATCCTACTTTTTGCTTCATATTAAGCATTAGCCCTGTACTTTATCATTTATATACGTTTATATACATACATATATACATATATATACATACTTACGTCGGTACACGTAACAAGTGAATTAAAGGCCTATATATTTTAATGTTATACTTGTTTGAGAAAATTATTTTATAAAATAGTTATTGGTTAAAAGGCAATGTGCTTTACTACTCGTTGAACGATATTAGTGACAAAGCAAAGAAATAATTAAATAACTAAAAAGCCTGCACATTTAAAATAAGATAGACTACCAATACCTATTAGGAAAACCAAATTCTCTACATTAGTCAACACAACACCATATTAAATGAACACACTGATTAAGAGAATTGAAGGATTCCTTTAAAACCCGGCTGTTCAATAGTATTTCTGTTGTTTTTTAAAGTAATTTGTACTACTTTTAGCCAAGAAAATTGTATACATTTCTAACGTACGTCTTAATAAGTAGATCTATAGATCTAAATCAAATTTGAATGAAATAGTTCATTTCTTCATATTCTAAAATTAGAAGATGACGCCATTAGTTTTGTGTACTTTCCATAGTTCAAATATTTGACAGCATTGTTTTTTGCTTTCTTGTTCCAACCATAACCACTTTTCTGGTTGCTTAATTAAAAATGTGTTTCTACATTTGAATATGCCTTTATATTTATTTTCCTACTCTAAATAAAATTTAGTCTATACTTTTAAAACATCCAACATATTGTTTTCAACAAAATTACATACCTTTAACTTCTCCATATATCACTCAACATACTGACCACATAGCCTAAAAAATGTTGCGGACAGAGAGAGAGAGAGAGAAGTGAGCACATAGACTTTTGTATAAATTATGATACACACACATATATATATATATATATATATATATATATATATATATATATATATATATATATATATATATGTACCTATATACATAGACCTATATATACATATGTACATTTTTACCTATATATACATTTATACACATATATATATATACATATGTACCTATATATATATATATATATATATATATATATATATATATATATATATATATATATATATATATATATATATATATATAATACATATATATATACATTATATGTATATATAAACTTCTTTTTATTGCTTTTAAGAAAGCAATTTAATTTTTATTGCATCGACAAGTCTGTTTGGCTTATTATTCATGCCTATTGGTTTTCTCATTTTTCTGTTTTCTACTAAACTTGTGTCACTAATGAATGAGAGATGTTGTGACAAAGTCAAGCCAAACTACTTGATATTAAATGGGGCAGACTGGCTGACTACTAACATTCAATTACTAATCTGAAAGTCTGGGTTCAGGTCATGAACATACCTGAGTCTGCCCAGCACTAATGGGTACCTGACTCAGTTTGGGGAAAGTAAAGATGGCTTAGCTCTTGCTACCATGCCTCTAGCTGTTTTTATCTAACAATCACTATTGAATTCCTAGATTATGCCACTTGCAAAAATTGTAAATCAATATATTCATTTACTTGCATTTTGTCCATTAATCAAAAGGTATGCACTAATAAAATTTGTGTCCATTAATCAAATGTTATACACATATAAAATGTGTGTCCATTAATCAAATGCTATACACATATAAAATGTGTGTCCATTAATCAAATGCTATACACATATAAAATGTCTGTCCATTAATCAAATGCTATACACATATAAAATGTGTGTCCATTAATCAAATGCTATACACATATAAAATGTGTGTCCATTAATCAAATGCTATACACATATAAAATGTGTGTCCATTAATCAAATGCTATACACATATAAAATGTGTGTCCATTAATCAAATGCTATACACATATAAAATGTGTGTCCATTAATCAAATGCTATACACATATAAAATTTGTGTCCATTAATCAAATGTTATACACATATAACATTTGAACTCTAACAATCTTCTGCAGTATAAACATGCCAGAAAATTTTACTCAATATGCTGACAAATAATTTGTTTTTAATTGTTTTTAAATTGTAAAATTACTATTTTCATTTTTAGAAGTATTTTTATCCTAAAAATAATAAGGTGTTGCTCATATTTTATGGTTGTTTTAATGTAACGTTAACAATTGTGGATGACTTCTCTTCTTAGTTATCATGCAAGTTCATAAGGATGATTATTTCTCCAGAAGTCCTGGCAATAAAATCCACATAAATATAAATAAGTCAAAACACACTTGGCACTAAAATCAATGGAAATATAACCCTGGCCCACGAGGCACTAAAATCAAAGTGAATATAACCCTGGTCTATGAGGCACTAAAATCAATGTGAATATAACCCTGGTCTATGAGGCACTAAAATCAATGTGAATATAACCCTGGTCTATGAGGCACTAAAATCAATGTGAATATAACCCTGGCCCACGAGGCACTAAAATCAAAGTGAATATAACCCTGGTCTATGAGGCACTAAAATCAATGTGAATATAACCCTGGTCTATGAGGCACTAAAATCAATGTGAATATAACCCTGGTCTATGAGGCACTAAAATCAATGTGAATATAACCCTGGTCTATGAGGCACTAAAATCAATGTGAATATAACCCTGGACTGCAAGGCACTAAAATCAATGTGAATATAACCCTCGCTCACGAGGCACTAAAATCAATGTGAATATAACCCTGGTGTTATGATGTATGTTTTAGTAGGTATTGAATTGAGTGCTTGTTGGTGCGGAGAATATGGTGAACACATGGGTATGATGACGCGGTACGAAAGATAGTGACGTTTTAGGTTAGAGAGTTGGTTGCTATGAGTTTATGTGTGAGCAGTTGAATCCATATCGTCGGTGCGGAAGGACGTGTGTTGTTGTAGATACGAGATTAAAAGATCTATACACGGATTACTTGGTTCCTCTTATCTCTGAGCGTTGTAGACTCGTTTGAATGTGACATAACCTAGTGGTTATCAAGGTGTAATACTCTCTCCCTGGTATTGGAGGCGAGTGAAATGGTAGTTGGCTGGGTCAAGTAAATTAAACCCTCTCACAGCAACACATAACCGTAACACCTGGTCTATGAGGCACTAAAATCAATGTGAATATAACCCTGGACCACGAGGCAATAAAATTAATGTGAATATAACCAGACTGAACACAGGACAGGGTCAATCTGTGTTGTCAGAGTGTCTGCCCCACTAAACTGTGTTTTTTGTAAGTCTTCCCCCTCCCCCCTATACACAAACCCCGAAAGTTTCAAGTGTTCCGCATGGAACATTGGAGAACACAAAGACTAAAGACAAAGAGCCTCAGCGGCCTTTTCGGAAAGGCCTAGGTTAATACTAGGATAACAGTTACCGTTATTATGCCGTTATAATATATCGCATTTGAGTTTTCCGTTTTTCCAGGAATTTCCGATGTTCAATTTTTAAAATTGACCACCGCCTGCGTCCACTTTCTAACGAGCAGGCTACGTTGAATTGTTGTTTTGGACTTTCTCAGAAATAACTGTGTTCTTAAAATTATTTTTCAGGGATTATAACCAGCTGCAGTCACAACTGACATCATTGTAAGTCATAATGTGGCTGCAGTCACAACTGACATCATCGTAAGTCATAATGTGGCTGCAGTCACAACTGACATCATTGTAAGTCATAATGTGATGAGTGGGTCAACTTAACGACAGTGTTCATTGAATTAAATTTATGTTACTGAGTGATAGAACAATTTACTGTTGGCGTTTTTAGATGTTTCTGGTCTAGGTATCACAACAAACTAGGTGTTTTTAGACATAAGTATTTAGTCTAGTTTAGTAGTTATCTCAACAAAATTTCAATTGTCTTAAACATTGATAAATTTTTTCAAAGGTCACCTTTAACAACTTTGATATTCAGCTGAACTGTAAGCCCCTGGTTGTAAAGGTGTAATCGTATTTCTTTATCTGTCACCAGATCAAGGGAGTTTCCAGACTAGCTAGGTCATGTCTGTGTGATACTCAGGACAAGCTATGTGGCGGTTTGATCTAACAAAGATTTACTGTAATAGATCTTGGTTATAACAAACATCTACTGTAATAAATCTTGGATATAACAAACATCTACTGTAATAAATCTTGGATATAACAAACATCTACTGTAATAAATCTTGGATATAACAAACATCTACTGTAATAAATCTTGGATATAACAAACATCTACTGTAATAAATCTTGGATATAACAAACATCTAATGTAATAAATCTTGGATATAACAAACATCTACTGTAATAGATCTTGTAACAAAGAGAGAGTCTATTTACTATCTATAATCCTCTCTGCTGGCTGAATTATGCAGCTGTCTTATTAGCTCAACTTTTGTTAGTGAGATTGGCCAACATGTTTTTGTTTTAGATAGGGGGTCATTAAGATAACAGCAATAATCACATGGCCAATTATCTCAGCCTGTTATTAATTTTTAATCAAAAGCAGTTCTGCTCAAGGTGTGTTGCGCATTTTGGATCTTGAAGTCTACAATTTATAGTCAATCTATGTAGGCCATAAAGTCTACAATTTATAGTCAATCTATGTAGGCCATAAAGTCTACAATTTATAGTCAATCTATGTAGGCCATAAAGTCTACAATTTATAGTCAATCTATGTAGGCCATTAAAAATCTGGTTTTCACATTCCATGTAAGTTTTGAGAGTCTAGTTTTCATATTCCATGTAAGCTTTGAGTCTAGTTTCATATTCCATGTAAGCTTTGAGAGTCGTTTTCATATTGAGTCTCTTTCTTTTGTGTTGTGTGACATCTGCCTCTGGTGATTTGTGTTTGACATCTGCCTCTGGTGATTTGTGTTTGACATCTGCCTCTTGTGATTTGTGTTTGACATCTGCCTCTGGTGATTTGTGTTTGACATCTGCCTCTGGTGATTTGTGTTTGACATCTGCCTCTGGTGATTTGTGTTTGACATCTGCCTCTCGTGATTTGTGTTTGACATCTGCCTCTGGTGATTTGTGTTTGACATCTGTTGCTGGTGAGTTGTGTCTGACAAACTCCTAAAACTGTCGTCACATTGAACTGCATGTTTAAGAGATGAAAGTCTACCCTGCTCACTCCTAATGCAGGTGATGTTACTCACAGCTGTTACAGCAACTTGTTACAGTCTTTTTCACTACCTCACCTATAATGTTAACACCAGCAGTAAATGGTTTAACACCAGCAGCTGAGCTAGGACTTATTGAGCTATCACTGAGCTAAGACGTATTTAGCTATCACTGAGCTAAGACTTATTGAGCTATCACTGAGCTAAGACTTATTGAGCTATCACTGAGCTAGGACTTATTGAGCTATCACTGAGCTAAGACTTATTGAGCTATCACTGAGCTAAGACTTATTGAGCTATCACTGAGCTAGGACTTATTGAGCTATCACTGAGCTAAGACTTATTGAGCTATCACTGAGCTAGGACTTATTGAGCTATCACTGAGCTAAGACTTATTGAGCTATCACTGAGCTAAGACTTATTGAGCTATCACTGAGCTAAGACTTATTGAGCTATCACTGAGCTAAGACTTATTGAGCTATCACTGAGCTAGGACTTATTGAGCTATCACTGAGCTAAGACTTATTGAGCTATCACTGAGCTAGGACTTATTGAGCTATCACTGAGCTAAGACTTATTGAGCTATCACTGAGCTAGGACTTATTGAGCTATTACTGAGCTAGGACTTATTGAGCTATCACTGAGGTAGGACTTATTGAGCTATCACTGAGCTAAGACTTATTGAGCTATCACTGAGCTAGGACTTATTGAGCTATCACATTGAATATCACATTCATATATTGGCTAGTCTACACAAGCAGTCTCAAGTATCCCCCTCACATTTTCGACTCAGTTATACATATATAGTAGTATATATTTGGCTCAGTTATACTTATAAAGTAGTACATTTTTGGCTCAGTTATACAAAGAAAGTTTTACTACATTATTTGTTGTGTCATCATTCAGACGGACTGAAAGAAAAACAAATAAAAGTTGATTCTGGGCGAGCTGATGTGCTCTATGTTGTGTCTAAGTATTTAACAACACAGCCAATTTTACAAATGTGTTAGTTCATCAACACCGGTATTGCAAACTTGTGTCCTGTGGTTTTATCACTCTCCATCAATCTCCAGCAACCTTGCTACGTGTTCAATACCCCTCCCTCCCCCCCCCCCCCCCCCCCCACACCCCTCCCCACCCCTCAGCCTCATCGGCTCAATGCATGACAGAATCAAGTCAATAAGAAACATTGACATGATGGACCCAATCAATAAGAAAACATTGACATGATTGGACCCAATCAATAAGAAAACATAGCCATGATTGGACCCAATTAATTAGAAATATTGACATGATTGGACCCAATCAATAAGAAACATTGACATGATTGGACCCAATCAATAAGAAACATTGACATGATTTGACCCAATTAATTAGAAACATTGACATGATTGGACCCAATCAATAAGAAACATTGACATGATTGGCCCCAATCAATATGAAACATTGACATGATTGGACCCAATCAATAAGAAAACATTGACATGATTGGACCCAATCATTAAGAAACATTGACATGATTGGCCCGAATCAATAAGAAACATTGACATGATTGGACCCAATCAATAAGAAAACATTGACATGATTGGACCCAATCAATAAGAAACATTGACATGATTGGCCCCAATCAATAAGAAACATTGACATGATTGTACCCAATCAATAAGAAACATTGACATGATTGGACCCAATCAATAAGAAACATTGACTTTATTGGATGATCGGACCAAGTGATTAATTTGTGTTGACAATTTTTAAATTATTGTTTTAACTCGACCTTGACACGGCTGGAAAAAGTCCCAACCAAGGGCACCTGCACAAGACTTGTGCCAATCACTTGACATTGATTTATCAGATCAATAAACAGATCAATATCCCAGCCTCAACTGCTGTTGTGTGAAGTCTGTCCCTATAATCATGTTTATGAGATCTACCTCTTCTGTGTCATTTAACTCAATGCTCATTGACTTTCCTTATTACTAGATCTAGAATTATTATTTAGAAGGATTATCTAGAAAGATTATCTAGAAGGATTATCTAGAAGTATAACATAATTGTGCTCTACACACACTGGAGTTCATTCATACATTTTTCTTCTATTTCTGCACAGGGTCCAAGAATCAGCAGTGCTCATGTCAGGGTCCTTGTCAAGTCAACATGTGACAATGTGGTCAAGGTCAAGGTCCAGTCAATGTATAACAATGTGGTCAAGGTCCAGTCAACCTGTGACAATGTGGTCAAGATCAAGGTCCAGTCAACTTGTGACAATGTGGTCAAGGTCCAGTCAACTAGTGACAATGTGGTCAAGATCAAGGTCCAGCCAACTTGTGACAATGTTTTTGACCCTGACTTTAGTCCTGTCTTGTTTTGTTGGTCAGGGAACAACCTTTTCACTAAGTGAGCTCAGTCAGCTAGCAGGTAGGTTTAACTATTTCATAGCACACTAGACTAGTAAATACAGTAGATCAAATAGTGACTAGAATAAAGAATGGCTATTTAAGTTGTACCGAACTAGTAGATTGATTAATACTTTAAAAATCAGCTTGAAATTAAAAGGGGTTACTTAAATACAATTTTTTGATAACTATATAAAAATTAATTTTAACCCCAAAATGTGATCAGCTAATGAAAACCAAATTCTACTTTCATCAAAAATTTTCATTTAATACATATTTATTTGTCACACGTTATCTTTCTCGTGTATACGTAGTATAGAGAAAGTATTGTAATCGTGCAAAAAGAAAAATCGAGATTTTTACAAAACTCGACGTTTTACACCTCACTGATACGGAAAAACATAATTTTGCAATCTTGTCCGTATGTCTGTGTGTGTGTGTGTCTGTGTGTCTGTCCGTGTGCAAACACGATAACTTGAGTACCGTTACAGCTAGGTTGATGAAATTTCATATATAAGTATTATATCAAAATCGTAGATCCGTATCAACTTTTGAGCAATTTCCGACAATCGGAAGTGGTACTTTTTCTACTTTGAATTTTTCAAAAGCCTATAACTTGAGTACTATTTCAGATAGATAAATGAAATTTCACATGTAAGTAAAAGATCTAATTCTCTACCTTCTGTTAAATTTTGAGTAGTTTCCGTTGACCGGAAGTAGTAAGTTACGCTACTTCCGATTTCTCAAAAAACTAATGTAAATTTATTAAGTACTAATACTATTGCGCACTATTATACACACCTTTATTAGGCGTTCGCTTGGTGCGCAATTGTTTTTTACTGAGATTCTATTCTATTTTTAAAAGTTTCAGTATTTAAAATGGATTAAAAATCATAACTATATCCCCAGTTACCATCCCCTGTTGTTTTATTAATACTAATAGTTTCGCTGTCTGTCTATCTATCTGTCTGACAAGAACGCTCTAGAGAAAAGACAAGCAATTTAAAAACATGCATAGTAATTCGAAAAACGAAGTATGACGTCGACACATTTAGCGTAGAGTTGAAAATAATCTCAGGGCGGAAAGTACACAGTAATATAATGACGTCATTGAATCTTGCGTAAACATTGAATAATAAAAAGGAAATGTTGTCTAATCTAAATGGTTTGCGTGAAGAGTTTCTTGCATACAATTCTTCGGGTAGGGGCGAAGCCCCACCCTCCGCGTAAGAACGTCTGAGCCCCCCCCCCCTCCCCAACTCAAAAGAAATTTCCTCATCGATACTCTATAATAAAATTACCGCCTAATTAATGTGTCTGATCTAAAACGTGGTTTTCTTGCAATGGGACGGTAGACATGTTTTTTTTTTTGGGGGGGGGGGGGGGGGTGGAGGGGTGGGGGTGTGTGTATGGGGGGGGGGGTGGTGTGTGGGGGGGGGGGGGTGGTGTGTGGGGGGGGGGGGGTGGGGGGTGGGTTGGTTTCAGTGTTTCTTTCAGACTTTTTCCTCCCCGGAGAGGGGTGGGGGGTACTTGAAATTTTCGGGGGCGGGGGTAGAATTTTCTGGGAGGGGGCGGACACTGGAAAAAGTATATAATTATATTTCGTTGAATGGGACGGTAGACATGTTTTTTTTTTGGGGGGGGGGGGTGGGGGCGGTGTGTGGAGGGGGTGGTGTGTGGGGGTGGGGGTGGTGTGTGGTGGGGGGTGGGGGTGGTGTGTGGGGGGTGGTGTGTGGGGGTGGGTTGGTTTCAGTGTTTCTTTCAGACTTTTTCCTCCCCGGAGAGGGGTGGGGGTACTTGAAATTTTCGGGGGCGGGGGTAGAATTTTCTGGGAGGGGGCGGACACTGGAAAAAGTATATAATTATATTTCGTTGAATGGGACGGTAGACATGTTTTTTTTTTGGGGGGGGGCGGTGTGTGGAGGGGGTGGTGTGTGGGGGTGAGGGGTGGGGGTGGGGGTGGTGTGTGGTGGGGGGTGGGGTGGGGGTGGTGTGTGGGGGGTGGGTTGGTTTTAGTTTAGAGAAAAGAGACAGCACTATCAGCCTAGCGCCCGTTGTACCCTTCCTCAACGGGCCATTTATCTAGTATAAGAATATTCGAGAAAGTTTAGGGGAGATCACTACCGGTTTATTTCTTAATATGCTCATTTTTGTTCTGAGCAAAACTGTTTAAAAACAATTTAGGTTGTCATAAAAATCCGAAAAAGCACCCTCCATTTTGAACTTTTTGACATTTTTTAAAAACGCTTAGGCTTTTTATTTATGCATTTTAATGAAAATCTTTTTCTTTCGGATTTATTGGCTGCCCCCTTCTGCAATGTATACAATTATAATTGTCCCGATCTAGCCATTTCTGAATGGTTGCGTATTTTCTATACTATATATGACAAACATATTCCTAAAATCTCTAAAAGGGTTAAGACTACATACAAACCTTCTTGGTTTAACAACAATATCGAATCTGCAATTAATAAAAGAGACTGGCTTAAACGTTATGGAACTTTCCCTCTCCAAGCCACTAGAAATACATATAAACAAATGCATGTCAAACTACCTAGAAAAGCATAAGTAATCAGTCTGGGTTTAGAAATTTTCATTCTTGTCACACTGCTCTGATTAAGATGAATGAAAACTGGCTTAAAAATATTAACAAAAACCTACTCTGTGGCTCGCTGTTCGTCGATTTCAGAAAAGCCTTTGATTCTATTGATCACACCATATTTCTTAAAAAACTAATTCCATACAAATTCCACGACTTTACAGTTAGGTTACTTCACTCCTTTTTATCTAACAGATCTCATTGCGTGTTTCACCTTAATACCATCTCTTCACAGAAATATGTCAATATAGGGGTTCCACAGGGCTCAACTTTTTAGCGCAATTTCCATTCTGGAGAATTGCGTTTATTAACCCGTCATTTCTGGATGTATGAATGAATGGATGGATGGATGGATGTGTGTCCGCAGCTTTAAGTCGTATCTCCTCCTCAACGAAGCAATATCGATGACTAGTTCCAAAGCAATTGTGTTAAGCAAGTTACGAGGATGAGCATAGGCCATAAAAATTCCGGGTTTCTTTCATGTATTCCCGGAAAAGCCAAAAAACCTCGAAAAAATGCAGTTTTTTTGCCCATATCTCGGCAACCAGACCACTTAACGACTTGAAACATGTACCAATCGATTCCTGCCATAATTTAGAACAATATTGCCGAAGAAAGTTTTCAAAAATATCCTCTCGTTCGGGCACAAATTTTAAAATTACATAAACACCTACAAACCAATCGTTCTTCTAGCTTGAACGCACCCCAGCATTATACGTCAGAGCTATTTTTTGATAACATAAGGAAATTGCGCATAAATGTCACTAGACTTTTTTAATTAACTTGTTTCTTTATACATTAATGATCTTCCATTACACATTGACGCTGGTCAGTGCGAGATGTTCGCTGATGATACTTCGTTACATGTCTTTGCAGACAGTGCTGAGTCACTCAGTTACAAACTTCAAACATGTGCCAATCAGCTTGCTACTTGGACAAAATTTAACAAAATGAAACTTCACCCCGATAAAACCAAGTCAATGTTTATTACAACTCATCAGAAACGCCTTCGTCTTCCATCCACCGCATTACGCATTACTATAGACAATACAAACATTGAACAGGTTAACAGTTACAAATGCCTAGGATTGGTTATAGATCACAACCTCACTTGGTCCGATCATATTCATTTTCTAAGAATGTCCTTATTAAAGACAAATTTTCAATTAGCAAGGATAAAGAACTTTCTCGACTATAGGAGCAGGCTAGTTTTTTTATGAAGCTTTTATTCAATCTAGGTTGGATTATGCTTCTGTAGTGTGGAGCGGCAGCTTTATAACTAAGCAGAGTCCTCTTCTATCTTTACAAAAAAAGGCTATAAAACTGGTTACTGGCTTGTCTAGTAGTCTGGATTCTTTTATTACAACTAAAATACTTCCATTAAATAAAAAGATAATATATACTAAATCAATTTTTTTTTATATAAAATATTCCACGAAACAGCCCCCTCTAACCTCTTACTTATCAGACCAATTTTCTTTTAACATAAAATTAAATCGTCGTCTTCATTTACCATTCCCATATACAACTTTTTTCCAGAAACATAGCTTCACCTACTCTGGTTCTAATTTGTGGAACAATCTTCCTAATAAAATAAAGCTATCTAGATCTGAAAATATATTCAAATCTGAACTAAAACTACAATTATTTAATGACCTCTCTAATTGACCTCATTGTAACATTTCTCATTCATCTATTATATTCTCTTTTTTATCTCATTTTATATTATAACTATGTAACATTATTTCTTTATTCCACCTTTTTAGTGCTATGTTACTGCTATGTGTTATTGAATTGTTTTATTTGTTTAAACGGCCAATGTGAAAAAAGGCCTTCGTGCCTACAATTGTAACTGTTTTTTGAATAAATTTAAATTTTGAATAAATTTGAAACCCTAACCAGTGGCGGAACTAGAAAAAAAGAGCCACCCCGCAAAATTTTTTTAGCTCCCCCCCCCCATATATATATATATGGTAATCGTTTTATAAAACAACCATCAAGTCAAAAATGCAAGAAAATTAGATTTTTTTAAAACTATAACAAAAATTATTGTGGTCGGCCGTGCCCCCCCCCCCCCTCCCCGCATTGCGGGGTCTGGCGGCACTGTAGTTCCGCCCCTGACCCTAAAACATATCCCTATCCGTAACCCCTAACCCTAGGCTGAGGCGGATGCTTAGATTTTTGTCTTTTCCTTAAGGTTAGGCTTAATGTAATAAATAGGTATAGAATTTGAGTTAGAGCTAGGAATCTAACTTTCGGCGGGGGGGGGGGGGGGGGGGGGGGGGCCTGACAAAAAATCGAAAATTGTAGCATCGATCGCAAATCTTTGGCGATTTATAGTTTGGTGCACCTTAAAACTACGAGAACTGCCGAGACTACACTAGACTATGCTGATGTTTGTACAAATCTCGCGATATTTGGGTGATAAAAAAAATTCCCGGCTATTTATCGGATTTCCCGGCAGGGTTGGGGAAATATTTTTTTTAATTCCCGTTTTTTTCCCCCAGGCTCTGTGGGAACCCTGTATATTTAGTCTTGTGTTTCTTCATAGCCCGTTTGTAGTTTTGTCCTTACATGTTACGTCACGCACTTGTTAACCCGTAACAGCGATTCCGTGTGTTCACAACAGGAGGGGTTTGTTCGAAATGGACGGGGGTGGCGGATGGTCGACTCCAAAACAAAACTATTTTGTGTCATTGTGGAGGTAAAGTCTGATATATATTTATATATAGGCCTATACATAGTGGTACCTCGAGGTGTGTGTTTAATTAGTTCTGTAACATGCAGAGGCGTAGCGACCCTTCCCGGCGCCCGGGGACATACTTTCAATTTGGCGCCCCCCTCGGGAGCAAATTTTCGATTTGCACCCCCCCTCGAACTTTACATTTGCACACCCCCCCCCCTCGAACTTTTCATTTGCACCCCCCCCCGTCAAACTTTCGATTTGGCGCCCCCCCCCCCCCCTAAGGTCGGCGAACAAGGCCGACTGAGGAGAAGCCAACCAAGGAATGACAAAAAAAAAAACCATGCAAAACACAATGATGTGCCTAAAATTCGTTAATAATTAACATTTCTAGAGCGTATTTAACAAAATTCATTACAAAAATGTGTTTGCTGTGTAAATTAGATTACAGTATTTTTACTTATTAGTGTTATAAACCACAAATCTTTTATCGTTTATAAAAATACTAAAAAAAAAAAACAACCCACATCAATAAACACCCAAAATTTTACAATTCTCAACAATTTAAATACAAATATTTATTAGAATATTTTTGTGACTTTTTTTCTGTTTTTTTTCTGTGACTTTTTTCCATTGACCGGCCCAATGTAGGGTGCAGGAAATAGTCGGAAGAGCTTCACTTTGTTAACACTATACTTCATACTTAAACGTTCACAGAGCAGAATTGAACCTATATGTTACTATGTCATGTTTTGTTTCCGTTTGTGCCCAAGACACATGGGGCTGATGAAGTTGAGTTTCAGTTGAGTTAATCTGTTTCAGAGACCTCGGCATATGTAGGGGTTAGTGTGGTCAGCACTATGCCAAATCGCTTATTTTCCTAACACTTAGGTACCCATCAGAGCTGGTTGGACTCAGGGACACTCTACTGACTTGAACTGAGATTCAACCTTGAGACTTTCGGGTTAGCAGTCTGTCTCTATACCACTAGGCCAAAATGTTTGGTTACTTGCACTTCATTTTTGTCAATCCTTTACTCATGACTGGTCTTTACTTTTTTCAACGTTTCCTCATTTTCCCACTGTCCAAGGAGGTTTTTTTTTTCTTCAGTCTTTTGGAAATTAGTTAGGTAAGTGTTAATAAATAACACTGGTGCATAATCTGTTGAACCCGCTAATCTGGTTACTCGTATATCAAATGTATGTCAAAGCTAATTTTAGCTGGCCTTGACAGCTCACTCAAATCTCAATAATAATATCTTGGGGAACGCATATGTTGAGGTACCTCGGTTTGAACTTGTTTGGCCAAAAGTATTTTCAAATGATGAAGTTACTCAAGTACAAATGTACATGGATGGTTGACCGTATGTGTGCTTAAGGATACCCAGAAGGTAAATAATTGATCAGACATGAATACTGTTTACAAGACTGGTGCTAAACTCATTCATAAGTGTTGTTGTTTTTAATGACATAAATTTGCAATTCAATCAAGTTTTAATAACATGGAAGCAATAATAATTTATATTACTAGAAAATTGTATGGCCACTTTCAACTTTCAGTCGTTGGACTCTCTACTCTCATCACATGCTCTATTACTTCAAGTTTTTCTGACTTGTCAGTTTTCTGTTCTAGCTGGTGTCTGTCTGAGATGTGAGCAGCTAAAGATTCAAATTTCCCAACAAAATCCAGACTGCTCTCATTCACCATTCCATGAAGTGTACCATCAACCTGCATGAAAAATTTAATTTACAGATTCTACAGTTTTATGAATTATACAATTGTTTGGATATAAATTTAGTTTCAAATAATTTTTCTCAAGGGAATATATATATATATATATATATATATATATATATATATATATATATATATATATATATATATATATATATATATATGAATCTTAAGTAAAATATAATTTAGCTACCAACAGTAAGGTGATTTAAAAAGGATTTTTTTCAATATTTGTTAAATTGTTGTTAGTTTTTAAAAATTTGATAGGCTAATATAATAACAAGGTCATAGATTTTAGTAGCCCACCATATTCCTATTCAAAAGCACTCTTTAAAACTAACATAGGCATCTTAGTGCTCATGGCGGAGACTGGGGCACACCGGGGCATACGACCACTAATGCAGTTTGACCAGTGAAGGAAGTAGTGTGCTGACCCCCCTGTGAAGGACACCAAATCAACAGATCCATGCTATTTTTTTATCCCTTCTCAGAAACCAGTCCAAGGCTATTGTTATCGACTTCCTGAAGTTTTATGGCAACTGAATGAAAGGTGTAGTAATGCAAAAAAGAGCCACTCAGCCATACTTTCTTTTTTATATATATAGAAGATCACCAGCTTAAAATAAAATAATGTGACAGTGACGCCTTATTTCAATTTTATAATGCTATTTTTTCATGACGCCTATGTCACTGTCAGCATGACCATGAGCAACAGGTCAGAGGTGGTTTGTTATGGAGAGACATGTACTGTAGCTAAACAACCTACACACATTACTTACTACCCATAACCCACTGTGCAATATCATACCACCCTAAACACATTAAAAACCACACCCCATAAACCTTCCAACATCAAAAACTACACCAAAAAAAAAAAGGGGGGGGGGATTAATCAGCTGTATTTATACAAAACTGTAAACTTCTGTACTCCATGATCCACCCACTTCAAGCAAAATACAATAACACAAATTACAAAATAAAAAATCTTTTAATTCTTTTTGATAGGCCTACTACATTTTCCAGACATTCTTTTTTTTAAAGTTAATTTGATCAGTGTATGCCTAAGTACTCCCCCCCCCTCTCAATCAAAGGCAATGAGCTAATGTGTCCATTACTAGTGCTGTGAAATTTTCTAGTTTGTGCATTGCCTTGATGACATAACATGTTCATGTACTGCAGTCAACTGTTAATTCTGGTCCATGGGTTTAAGTTAGGATTCATACGTTAAGTGATAGTGAGGATGAGTTTGTTAAAGATAATTAGTCAATCACCACATCATTGAAGACCTTGACCTAGAAGTGAAACATAGCAGATATAGATAATGCTTTAGTCTAGAATAGACAAGTGTGTATTTTAGGGATGAAAGACATCTGCATGATGTAGTAGAATAACTTGGACAAGCCTATTGCAGCAGTTCAATGAAATGTCTTGATACAATGTGATTAGAAACAGAACTCTTTAAACAGCTTTCTTGAGTGACCAAAGTCCACTGAGTTTGAGACCTCTTTAAATAGCTTTCTTCAGTGACATAAGTCTATTGAGTTTATAGCTTTCTTGAGTGACCACTGATTTTGAAGATGGTTCTAACATCATAAGAAACTAGAGTTGTAAAACCCAGATAGTGCCCTCATACATTGTGTCTTTAGAGATGCCAATTCCCATTGCAAGCAATATCTTCCCCCTTCTCTGCAAGCCTTGATGATTTCTATACACCAAATAGGGGTTCATAAAGGTAAATATTTTCAATGCTCACTTTTCTTTGCAATAGGTATTTTCTTAATACAATATTAAAATTAAGATCATATTGTTTTTAGTATTATAATTACTGTATTTATTATCCAGAAAAGATTTTTATGAATTTTTGAGGGTCTAGGAAACAATTCGATTTTATTGAAAAAATAAAAATGGCATTGTTTTTGCACATCATGCACTTTTTTTCAGACAGATGATCTACACAAACCAAGGTTTCATTGTAAAGTTTATGGGTAAGTAACATCAATAGTGAGAATATGAAATAGTCGTGTTAAAAACTCACATCAAGCTTGACAAAAGAGTCTTGTGAGCCATCACCAAATAGCAGGTTCTCAGAAAACATATTGCCAGTTTTAACAGGCGTTGACGATAAGGAATCATCCTTTTTAAAGCTTGGATCTCCCAGAAGAGAACTTAAAGAAATATCTTTGGCCTGGATAAGCAAATTTACATTTTTATATACCATTATCATATTCCCCAACATAATTTTATATTAATATATATATTAATATTATTATATACCCACAAAGCTTTAGCTTTATTATATATCTCAACATAACTTTATAACCCCACAAGATTTTAGCCTCTACTACATTTATACATTATTACATACCCCACATCACTTTAATAGCTTCTATATTTTTTTACAATACTATTTACCCCACATAACGTTCTACCCACACATAATGTTAGTCTCGTCTATATTCTTCTGTAATGCTATAAAATGTGTGCAGCGAACAATTATTTTACCATTACATATACCCTACTTTTTATGTTACCCAATTTTTACTATTTCGTAGATGGAGTAGAGAGGAAGTATTGTAATCGCGCACAAAAAACAAACAAAAAACCAGAGATTTGTGAAAATCTCGGGGTTTTTAGACCTCCCTGAGTCGGAAAAACTTAATTTTGCAATCTTGTCTGTATGTCTGTGTGTGTGTGTGTCTGTGAACATGATAACTTGAGTACCATTGCATCTAGGTGGACCAAATTTCATGAATAAGTATTACATCAAATTGGTACTTCTGTATCAACTTTTAAGCAATTTCTGATAACCAGAAGTGGAACTTATTCTACTTTCGGTTCTTCAAAAGCCTATAATTTAAGTACTATTTCTGATAGATAGATGAGATTTCACATATAAATAAAAGATATAACTCTTTTTCTGCCAAATTTTGAATAATTTCCAGTGACCGGAAGTACTACTTTACGCTATTTCTGGTATCTCAAAAAACATAAATTTATAAATTACTAATGTTCCGCACTTTAATACACACACTGTTTACTGTTCAGATGGTGCACAGTTCTTTTTTCTACGAGATTCTACTCTATATTAAAAAGTGTAAGTAAGTAAAAATTGATTAAAAAGCATGTCTATATCTCGAGTTGCCATCCCCATAGTGTTATATAAGAATATTCTAATATTTGAGAAAGTTTGGGGGAGATCACTCCCACTTTATTTTATTACACTTTATAAAAGTGACTTAACAACATAATCATACTGAGGCAAACAGCTCTACTAAAAGTGAATGAATATATTTGTCAAATAACTGAAAAATGTCATTAGATGTAAAAAAAAAAAAAAAGCACTTCTTTACCTGAGATGGCTGACTAAATGCTATGATGGAAGGTTCTGGTACATCTGATGAACCATTATCAAAATACACAGCATAGTTAGACAATGAGGAAACTGTGGTTGAAGGTTTCTCAGGTTGGCCACTTGCTGTTTTAAATGAAGATGATTCTCCCAAAATCGAACTTAAAGAAACATCCTGTGACTAGGAGTGAAAGAAATTCACTAAGGTGAAGATGAGTCAGTTCAATTTAAAAAGCAGTTTACAGTTGTGAAAGCTTAAGTTATACAATTTTACAGACTTATTTACTATCCTAGTTATGGATGCAATATCTGCTAAAATAGTGACAAAAAATTATCAAGTAAAGATTATGACTTTATTGAGCTTACTTCTGAAGGTATCCATTTGTCAGATAAATCTAATTTAATTGGTGATGGAAACATGTTGGCAGATGAATGAAGATAAGACATTCCAGAATGGGGAGGTGTGCCAAGAACAGTTGAGTCAAATTCTGATTGATTTTCCGCGATGCCAAGTGATTTTTTAGGTGTGCCCAGCAAACCTGGAGGTAAAATATTTTAAACTTTCAGAACTTTTGTAAAAAGTAGTGCCTACAAAAAAAATTTAGTTGACTTACTAACCAGAAAAACCTTGCTCCGAATTCTGTAAAACCATATCTAAGAACTTGTCACCCGCATCAGGACCCACTACAAAAAACATGAACACATTTATTGGTCGCACTATATACAGATACGGACAATTTTTTAATCAACCAAGCCTGAATTATTGATTACTTATAACATCATGATAAATAATATGTAATCCTAATGCTACTTACTGTTAGAACTAGCAACAACAGATAATGATATATCAAAGTCTGACATGCTAATATCTCCTTGTGATGTAATAGACTGACTGCTTTGTTTAGGTGATGATGTACTATTAAAAAAGGATGGTGTAGAGGTGCTTGTTACACAAAATGAAGCCAGAACTGATTCCGGCTGACTCTGCTCAACTTGTATTTTTTCTGGACTCAGTGGACATACATTTTTCTAGAAGAAATATCAAGCATTCAATGCAACTAGATGTCAAGATTTTTAAGATTAAAGTTACTTTTCAAAAACAGTTCTACTTTTTTCTATGACAAAAGAACATGTTAAATAAAATAAATACCTCAATTGATTTTGTGGGGAGTTGGATACTATTTTCAAGTCTACCGCAGTCTGTTGAAAATAAACATAGCACATCAGTTAACTAAAGAGCTGATCATTATATTGTAGTTTTATGCAGTAAATGTTTCTGTAGCGTTCAGTTTTATTTCAGAGTATTACACAGAGTAATTCCTCTGCTGTTGAATCAGGATTGATTAATAATGTAACACATATCTTTGTGTTCCCAGCCAAGGGGCAATAATGAAAATCATATTTGATTATGTGCCCTGTGGGTTTGCAAAGTGCTTGTTGTGTTTTGCTCTTGTGAGCGATTTTCGCGTTTTTTTTTCAAGTCAAGTGACCTCTAGAAGATCTGGTTAGTGTAGTTTGGAGTTCAAAACAGCAGTACAACCAAACCACGTGTGGTTAAGTCACAATGTTCTGACAGTCGTAGTTGGTAAAATAGTATAGCCCTGATGATGGTATGGTCATTAAATTTTACTGTTCTAATGCAGCATGTTGCAGACTAGATATTTTGAGTAAATATTAATTAAAGTCGTTAAGGTTGTTATGATGTGTGTTTCATCAGTCATGATGGTGCAAACGAATATTGGTGCAAAATGTATAATGAACGTATTGAATGGTAACGCTATACGCAAGAATGTGACGTTAGAGTTATGGTGCAATAAACAGTGGAGTTAACTAATGCCATCCTGTCAAGTCATTTTTTAACATTGATGTCGTGGTATTTGTCAGAACTCTATGGTGAATACTGAATTGGTTAGAGAGGAACTTGATGGTATTAAAAACCCTCTCACTGCATAGCTGCGGGTTACACAGACCCCAGTTATAACAAGGGTTGTTATGGTAAGCCTCGGCACAAGTTGTATTTTATAGACAACTAGCGTGCCGCCCCCGCACGTTGAAGTTGAGTTAAAAAAAAAGTCCAGGGAGGCAGAAACCTCGGCAGGCACAACTTCTCAAATTTTCATGATGAAAAGTTGTAATAATGCATAAAAAACAAACAAACTAACTAGTCGTACTTTCAATTTTAAAAATATATGTTAGTAAATCATTAAGAATGTGTCTTTAATTGAAATTTATCCTGAGTTTTATGCTGATAACAAAACAAGCTTTGAACTCTTACCTTTGAAAGGCTCTTTTGATTGACAAGTTGATATCACATTTATAGGCTGAGCATTTTTAAAGAAATCTTCTGGTCTTACTTTTACTACCAATGGCTGAGATGGCTATTTAAGAAAACAAAAAAAGGTGTCAAATTAAGCCAACAAAAATAATAAGTGCTAATTTCAATTTTTTGTGAACATTATAAATTAATGAGACTAACACAACCTCCTCTCCCATGAAAAGCTTCTAGGAAACATCCTTCCAACACCCACAACCTATAACTGTACTTGTTTGAAGAATTTTTTTTAACCAAAAACTGTTTATTAACATTTTTGTAAATTAATTATACATTGAGCTTTGCAGCTAACACATACAATGTATAAAAACCTTCACAACTAATCTTATAAACACTTTAAAAATAAGAAAAAAATTATAATATTAAAGGTTAGCAAAAGAAATGTTCACACATACATACACACATGTACATATAAACACACACACACACACATATATATATATATATATTTATATATGTTACGGTCAAAGCCCGAAGTGCGGCCAAAGCGCGGATTGGCCGGACAATCTGCGCAGTGGCCGACTCTCTTGGCCAAAGCCCGAAGAACTTAGCACTAAGATCGTATTTCGTACATTGGCCGGCCAATGCGCGCTCTGGCCGGGACGTACTGGCCAAAGTCCGAAGCGCTTAAACTTGACAGCGTATTTTGTACATAGGCCGGCCAATGCGCGCACTGGCCGGGATGTCCTGGCCAATGTTCTATGTAGACTAAGTTGTGATCGCATTTTCATTATTCTGGGTGCGTTTTCATTGAGAGTAACGTATTGTTTAGCTCTTGTTTGTATAGCATTCTATATGCAAGGCGACATGGATCAAAAGGGCCGTCAGACCATGAGACAGACATAGCAGATGGCTGTCAAAAGAAAATAATGTAAATCCATGTTAGTTTCCATATATGGGCTCTCGATAAAATAGTTACTGAGGAAGATCTTGAGAAATTGAACAAGAAATGGAGGTTGCCATAAATGCAACGACATCCTCAGCTAACACATCTACTGCTGAGGCCAAACGTCCAGACCAGTTGCGTGACAATAATGTGGCCAACAAATTCTATATAGTTTGTGAAAAACATTGTAGTGCAGCTCATTCTTTTGGATCCTGTGGCAACGATGTCCATGCTATTTGTGGAATACCCAATGAAGCAGACGAAGGGTACGGAGGGAACATTACCTGCAGATTGTGTCACAACAAACAAGACATCATGGAACGCAGATCAGCAGCTCATACTGGCTTGCAAACTCAAGGTGCTAAGATGCTTAAAACATCAAATACAAAATTTAGAGATGGTGAAGTGGGTGAAAATGTATGCATCAGTTTTCCAGATGTTGATAGAGGTCACGGTGATCCCCGAAGCGTGATTGCAGTTGTCATGAGCGTCGAGGGCGGTTTCTACAAATTAGGAACGGAACATGGTGTTCTAAAACAATTGTATGCTAGAAGTGAGTTTTCGAAAAACTGCTCTTATTGTCGTCAGTTGGCACTGAAAAAAAATTACTACGAACCATCGCATCTTCACAATCATTGACTGGGGGCCAAGGCTACACTCGCTGCAATTGCACAACTAAGTGCACAACAAATAGCTGCAAGTGTAAAAATAACAAGCTGCTATGTAATTCTAAATGCCAACTTGTTGTAACAAATGATGATATTGATAGATTGAGACTATAGTACAATAAAAAATTTGAAAGTTTCTGTCATTTACTTTAATTAATAATCAATAAAGACTTAATTTCATGATCCTTAAGGCATAAAAAAAAACCAAAATCTGCTCATGATCTTCTAATTCGGACTTTGGCCGGTCATCCCTAGCCAGATGATCTTCTAATTAAGACTTTGGCCGGTCCACCATGGCCAGCCTGCGGATTGGCCGATCAAAGGACGAAATCAAGCAAAGTTTCGGACTTTGACCGACCTATGGGAGGCGATATTGGCCAATGCGCAGATTGGCCGGCCAATCCTAGCATTGGCAGACTTCGGGCTTTGACCCTAACATTATATATATATATATATATATATATATATATATATATATATATATACATATATACATATATATACATGTGACACACAAGTAGGCCTACACTCGTGCACATATATGTGTATATATATTTACATATTCACACACACACACACACATATATATATATATATATATATATATATATATATATATATATATATATATATATATATATATATATATATATATATATATACACATATATATACATATGTATACAAATATTAATACACATACATCTTTATACATACATATACACATATATATATATAGAAATATATCTTCAAATATATATCTATCTATAAATATATATACATCTATAAATAAATAAATATTTAAATTTTTTAGCAGTAATATATTCTTGACATTCATGACAGTTTGTAATTATGTATAGGACTAATATACCTAAAGAAGAAAGTTGAAAAAGCCTCAACTAGGTAGTTAAATACATCCAAGCACTTGTAAAAGTTATAGATAATTCATATCCCACTCCAAAGCAAGTAAAAAATTTGTCAAATACCTGAATAAAAGCTACAACTTGCTCTGTATCACTTTTTGGTAACAGAGTTCTCTGAACTATAATTGAAGGTGTCCTCCTAATTCTGGGACCTAACATTCGTTTTTTCAGTAATCTCCGAGGGCTTGGTGCTTGTTGCTGAAAATTAGTCATTAATTATAAGCCAACCTGTTAATATAAATTTGAAACTTTTAAAAACAAATTAAATTTCAAAATCAATATTGCTCCTAGAAACAACTATTTTTCTCTGACTATCTATTTCTGACCATGATTTCCTTGGCTTGTTGTTGTAGCCTTTGCTGTTCCTCTAATTTGAGTTGATCTTCCCTTGAAATCTTGTAAGTGGGCAATAAAGGAACACGAAAAATTGGATCAGGTCCATTGATCTGACAAAATGTAGAAAATGGTGAATAAAATCTGAAACTTAATTTTCCTCAATAAACTACCAGAAAACAATTAAAAGAGAATGAAAACAAACAATTGTTAGCAAAATATTGTATGTAATAACAATTAAAATTTAACTTTTCTATCTCTAATGATTCTTTAAGGCAAGTAGATTTTTTTTTACCAACATTATCTGCACCTTTTGACTTGTTCTACAGACTTGTATATCAAGAATTTTTTATCAGTAGATGTATTATTTATTACATATTATTAGTTCAGTCTGTTTCAAGTAAACTAATTTATAAGTAGGCACATCAAAACATTTTTAAAGAGGTAATTTTCAAAAGAATTTTTTTAAAATGCACAATGTCAAATCAATGTGTCAATTTAAATAAATGACCCAAACTTTTCTGGTACAAGAGCCTACAAGACAACTATATCAAAATGTATGGGACTAACAATTCATTAAATTATGGGACTAACAGTTCATTAAATTTAAATGTATGGGACTAACAGTTCATTAAATTTAAATGTATGGGATTAACAGTTCTATGAATTCAAAGGTATGATTGAAACATTAAAATAATGCATTAGTTCAATGTGAGACAAAAATATTGACCAAATGTTAAATGTATTCATTTCTGCACATTATTCATTAATTTATGACCAGGTAATATGAATGGCATAAAAAGACTTCTGAGTTAATAGCATTAGGATAAAAATGGTCACTAGGCTTCCACTAATAAACTGTGTAATATTAAAAACAATAAAAATTAAAATAAAATACTTATTACCATATGAGCACTTTCTACTTTCTCGTATATATGAAGTATAGAGAAAGTATTGTAATCGTGCACAAAAATAACATGAAATTTTGACAGTTTTCACCGTTTTACTCCTCAGTCCTTCATCACATCCGGAGTATAGAGGACTTATTTTAATCAGGCAAAAATTATAAATACAAATATATATACATTTTGGCTTTTTAAGCGTTATCGAGTCGTAAAAACTGGACTTAGCAATTCTGTCCGTATGTCTGTGTGTCTGTCTGTGTGTCTGTGTGTAAACACGATAACTTGAGTACCGTTACAGCTAGGTTGATGAAATTTCATATATAAGTATTTTATCAAAATCGTAGATCCTGATCAACTTTTGAGCGCTTTTCGGAAGTGGTACTTTTTCTACTTTGAATTTTTCAAAAGCCTATAAGTTGCGTACTATTTTAGATAGATGCATGAAATTTCACACGTAAGTAAAAGATCTAATTCTCTACCTTCTGTTGAATTTTGAGTAATTTCCGTTGACCGGAAGTACTAATTTATGCTATTTCCGATTTCTCAAAAAACGCATGTAAATTTATAAAGTACAAATATTATCTCGCACTTTTATACACATTTTATTAGGCGTTCACTTGGTGTGGGACGGAGTGGTCTAGCGGTAGAGAGCTGGACTGCTAACCCATTAGTCTCGAGTTCGAATCCAAGTTCAAGTCAGTAGACCGTCCCTGAGTCCACCCAACTCTGATGGGTACCTAACTCCTGTTAGGGAGAGTAAAGGTGGCTGGGCATAGTGCTGACCACACTATCTCTTCATATGCCGAGGTCACAGAAACAAGTGAACTCTACTTCACTTGCCCCATAGACCGTCAGGTTTGAAAGGGAAACTTTTCACTTGGTGTGCAATTCTTTTTTTTTAACAAGATTCTATTCTATTATAAAAAGTTTAAGTAATTAAAAATGGATAACAAATATTGTCTATGTCCTGAGTTGCCATCCCTCGTAATTTTATATTAGAATATTCGAGAAAGTTTAGGGGAGATCACTCCCGGTTTATTATTGTAGAAAACTGGAAGTAAAAGTTTCAGTGGAATAAAAGCTCAATTTGAGGTACCTTTATTAGGAGTTCTATAGGTCCTACATAGCAAAACAGCTATAAGAGTGATAGACTTTAAAAGTTACACTATGCATTAATTCCTTACGAGTAATTTTAGTATAAACTCTTGAAAGCTAGACGTTTGTCAAAATACAATGCTCATACGAGAAATAATGCACTTTTCATCTGCTAAAAAGTGCAATTAGTAGGAAATGGGATATCTACCTGAACAGATCCAGGTGGGGGCCCAGCAATGAATGTTCCCCCAACTGTTGTCAGCTCCGACACAGATCCTTGTACTTGGCTACCAGATGTCTCTAGTTTCAGCAATTCTGTCATAGTTCCTGTATCTTTGGTATTTTCTCTTCTCTCACAAATTTGTCTTTTAGAGCGATTAGACTTGACTGGTCCATCACGCCCACAGTGAGCACAAGGTATGTTTTTGCTTGGATTCTTTATTTGGTCTGAGCCTTTCTCCTGAAAATCAATAATTCAATATTTAGTTAAGGTGGTTTTAAAAGTTTTAAAGTTTCTGGCCTATGACTTTTTTAATATGTGCTTTAGGGGTTGTCCATAAATGAAGTCACAATCTTTTGACCAATTTTATACCCCTCCCCATGTCACAGAAAGTCAGACCCCCCCTTAGATGACATCACACCGCCTAATTTTTAAAATAGTTTTTATCACTGGTTGACACAGCTTTAAAATTAAGTTTGCATCTCCTTCCGTGATACCATGTGTAGGTAAATTGTACAGAGAAACAATGAAAAAATGAAAGGATTATTTACAAAATTTTATGTAGGTAAATGTAGGTCGTCTTTGCAGACCCGACAACGCTTGTGAAAATAGCAGTAGTACATGTTCTATATCAAGGTGCTTTGACCATAGGTGGTTAGTCTACAGATGGGGTGGGATCGCAGGAGCTTTGTCCATACAGGGCAAGGATTAACTTAATAAAGGATTAAAAAGTTGCGTCATTACACTTTACAGTGTGGCATGATATATTAAAATGATTACTAATCATGTATGTAAAAAAAAATCAGCTGAGAAACAATACATCATGCTGCTCGAAAAAATATGACATATACTCTAACAGATGTACGGACATATTTGGTGTGTGACTGCACATCTGTCATTTTGTTAACCATTAAAGTATTATTTCTTCTATTAAATTAGTGTCATACTATTTTTTATCATTTGGATGTGCTATTTATTTTCATTATTTATTTTTGAAACTTTACTTGTCATATTATTTCTGTTAAATTTATGTTTATTAATAAATCTAGTAGGCCTTGCACAAGCTTTTATGTGGAGTAAAATAACAGCTTTCACTTGCTTTGGTTCATGTTAATTTATATTAATGGAAAAATCAAAGAAAACTTGTTATAAAATTGATAAAAATGTGTTCATCATATCATGAAATAACTGTTCATTAATATTATTATTAAAAAAACTACATGTGGAATAATCACCCATAGAAGAAAAAACTAGTCAAACCCCAATGTGGTCAAAGCCCTGCGTTCCCATAGTAGCAAGTGTGAGGAATTTATAGTTCACCTTATGCCTGGGACTTTACTTTCCCCAACTCAATTCAGTTATTCATCAGAGCTATGTAGACTCAGAAATCTTCTCTCACAAATTAAAAACAGATAAAGGTTTATGAAATTCACCAACTAGAATATTCAATTGCACGTGTTACTAATATTGAAGAGAATGTAAACAAATGACAAGAAATTCAAACTTAAATCTGGGCAAAATGTTACAGAAGATATATTTAAAAAATTATATTTTTAAAATTTATTTTATTTAAAGGGTTACATCAAAATAAAAAATGATGCAAATATTGAATAAAAAAATGATCTAATAATAATAATTTTGTAACACAAAAAAAAGAACAACTGAAAAAATGTAGGTGAATCATTAGGCTAGGATTAAAACAGTATGACGCCACACTGTCTAGACCTCCCTTCCCCCTCGTCACAAAAGTTTGAACAACCTCCCCCAGGCATGTGAAGTAATTTAAACATAACCCCTATATGAAAAAAGATTTAATGAAATTTGAATTTTCTATGTAATTTTCACAGTAATAAAAACCAACTGATTTCATGCTAGAAGGTCACAACTGTAATCCTGTGCAGAATATACTTTGATAGATTTTATGTGAGATAAAAAAATTATTATGCCATGAGAAATGCATTCATATTTTATTAGCAACAAAACTAAGAAATTGTTTTTTTTCTATTGCTGATTGGAATATATTGTGATTTGACAAACACAATTACTCATACCAAGAGAACAAGTTGACTTACTGGATACTTGGAGTAATCTGTCAACTCTAGAGTAGCAATATTACACAAGCGGCGTAAGACATTACTCATCTGATTAGCTGCTTGAGTTAACAAGGGAGGCAACTGAATCTTTGGCGGATTTTTCTCTCTCCATTCATATTCCAACCGGATGACACTTTCACGTCCTAGCATCATACTTAAGTGAAGAAGAGTTACATTGTTGGATGACTTTTGTGTAAAGCCTTCGGCAGCTAAGTTTGTCAATCTCACTACTTCACGTTCAGATTCCTCTTTTAAATCTTGAACAGAAACTGAAGTTAGACACTCATTTTTAGATGGTGATAAAGAATTATCACTTAAACTGGCAGACTGCTCACAGTTGTCTGAGGGAGCATTGATTTCATCTGTAATATGCAGCTTTTTTGATGACTTGGTTAACTTTCTTTTACTTAATGATGAGGGTGACAAAACATTTTGTGGAGGTGATCGTAGCTCAGAAGGTTTGTTTGTGTGGCTGATTGATGTGTGGCTGGGTGGTGAGAAAGGCGGTTCGTCAGGAAACATGGCATTTTCATCATCAATGACTACTGATGGCGGTGTTGGCCCTGGAGGTGTTGGCCCCACCCCATCAGGCACATTTGGACCACTAGTTGAACTCACAAGAGAAGGGTCATTTTCTACAAATGAGCTCATGTCTGTGGCTACAGCTGAGAGTAAACTAGCAAAGGTAGCTGGTGAATCAGATACTTTGCAAGACTGCTCTACATTGTCTTTTATACTGATGAGGTTCTGCTCAGATTTAATACATGGGCCAGGATCTTGAGAACTTTCTGAAACTGGTTTGTCCTCCACTTGTTTATCTTTGTCATCAACTATTTTATCGGACTCTTTGGAATTTCTTGACCTTTTTTTTTTTTGCAATGTAGCTGTTAAAGAAATTGTTAGGGTTAATAAAATAAATCATTTTGTTTGTAAGTCTTTAATATTTTAATTTATGAGCTCCAACACAAAAACATCTGCAAAAAAATGGCAACTTACGAAGAATATTTTCTCTATAACTCCGAAAAGTGACATCTATTTTGGGTTGTTCTCGTGGAATAATTGTCACTGGGGTCAATTTACAGTGAGGATGCAAAAAAAACACTAACTCTTCATTGACAGCTTCAGAAGATTTCAAACTTTCTTTCTGATAAGTACTTAAGGTTTGAAATAATTTGTAAAGATTATCTTTTCATAAGTTTGGGAATTTTATTAAAGAAAGAGGAGTAAAACAATTTGTAATAAATCCTTAATAGCTGTTCTTACATGAAATGAATAACGATACTTGTGAACTAAATAAGCCACAAATTGATGATGCTTAATTGTCTGCCCATTTCAGGAGTTCTCTAGAATCATGTTCTTGTAAAGGGGGTAATAACCATGTTTGAGGATTGAATTTGATAGAGCTGATAACTATAGTGAGGTAACTGATAGAGGTGTAATGTACTAGACCCTGTCAAGTATTAGTGCAGCGCATGCATCAAGTTTGTGTACACCTTGGATCATTTCATAAATTAACTTTTTTATTGTTGAATTATGTCTTGTGACAGCACAAAACTCTAATCCTTAATATTAGCTGTTACTTTAAACAAATCAAAGTAACCTAATGTTCTACTTTAACCTAACTAATATTATATACTAGCGTACCCATCCCACACATTGCTACAATCTCAAGAGAAAGGCTGATGCAACATCATAAGATCGATTCATGTATACATTGCCAATAATGTATTTTTGGAGGATTGACTGTTTTCCAAACTAAATTTTCTTAATTTAAACACTATATTTCTTGGATCATATCTTTTGGAGCCTGGTTTGTCCACACTACCACCCAGACACCTTTATGCATGCTGTATGCAGAGGCGTAGTTAGGGGGGGGGGGGGGCTGCCCCGGGTTCGCCCCTAGGGAAATAAGAGCACCTCCCTTAGTTACCATACCAGATGATCCTTTGCCATTGATTACAACTGGGAAATAATTTACAATTAGCAAAACTGAATACTTAAAAAGAAAATGAATGCATTTAACTTTAAGGATACCCTTCTCACTCTGTGTGGTTTCCATTTCTTATCTAGGTATTTGAATACTGATTCTAGGGTTCTGTTAGGTGTAACTTTCATACGAACTCGAGGATTCTGTGATAGAGCTTGAACTTTGGCCCATGCTTGACTGTTTTTAGGTGTTAGTTCTAGTAACATTTGATTAGGCATCTTGTAATTTTCTGAGGGTTCAGGTACTGAAATGGCAGATTTGAATAGAAATCACACTTTATTCAAAACAAAACACGTGGACCTTATCACATTAACTACATTTGAACACCCTTTTGTAACTCCAAATTTTTAATGTTAACATACACAACAAAATAAGCATGACCAAAATTATCAAATTGTATTTTAAAATGCTACCTTCAATTCGATTTAATTTCTTTAAGTATGTACAAACTGGTGTTTTGATTTTCCCACTTCTGAAACCTCTAATAGAAATGTAAAATAAAATGAATTTATCTCACACACACATAAAAAAAAGCTTTTAAAAATTCAAATTTTGAAAAACATTTCTAAATCTAAGTTTGTAGTTAATTAATGACAACCAAATTACAAAAAGACAAATAGCATGGCCGAATATCAAATTTTCTAAAAACATGTCACTAACACTCAAGCTTACCGTCCTCGCTTCCCTCGACTGGTGTAAACAGTTTCACTGGAGACAAATTTGAAAACAATTGTAAGGGGAAAAAAGCAAGGTAGTTATATTTTCTGTGATCTTACACAGCTTCATAATTACATATATTGAATAAAATATCCACTGTGCTTTTTTTTCAAAACAGTCAATGCAGTTCAAAAGTGTACAGATAAATAAAAGTTTTGTGTTGAATGTTAAGCCACTCCATGAAAGGAAAATTAAATCTCTCTGCCACTCCATGAAAGGAAAATCTCTCTGCCCTTCTATGCCACTCCATGAAAGGAAAATCTCTCTGCCCTTCTATGCCACTCTCTGAAGGGAAGAGAAAATCTCTCTGCCCTTCTATGCCACTCTCTGAAGGGAGGAGAAAATCACTCTGCCCTTCTATGCCACTCTCTGAAGGGAAAGCAAAATCTCTCTGCCCTGTCACTCTATGAAGGGAAAAGAAAATCTCTCTGCCACGTAACTTTTTTATTGCCCAACAAGCTGCCTAAACAAATTTAGTTGCCATACTTTGTTGAATTTTACAATTAGATTAAAAAATTTAGCAATTATCTCTAGTTTTAGAATAATATCAAAGTATTGCAACAATTAACTATAGTTTTAGTATAAAATCAAAGTATAATAGTAATAACTCTAGTCAACAATAAAATCATACTAGCTTTAAATTTCTAAGCATTTATTAACTTACCCAAATTGAATTAATTCATTGAGACATCTTTCAAATTGTGGATCAGTTTCTAGAAATAAAAAGAGAAATATTTATTGAAATTCAGTAGAAGTAAAAGAAATTATGTACTTAATAACAATTATTCTTATTTGAAAAAAAAAAGCCTACCTTTCACATGTTTCTTCAAAACGCCATAATTTATGAGCCCATACAACTCTTGAGTTTTCATCTTCACATCTGGAAATATAACAGCTTAAGAATATATTCTTGTAATATTGCATTTATTTTGTGCTTATGAGAAAACCACCATTATCTTGACTCTCAAATTCAGACTAAAAATGTTATTTCAACGCCTAAATGAAATGAAGTCTAAAATGAATAAATCTAGTAATAAACTTAAATAACCAAAGAAAAATAAGATATTTCAATAATGACTTAGGTAGACATAGTCGTCAAGGCCAGTGCAACCATAAGAAACTGGTAAGAGGTGGATTGTGTTGTGTAGCAAAAAGTCAGTTAAGTCAAAGTAATATAAAAAGCCGTTCAGTAAAAAGGTAAAAGTTACATCTTTGCTAGTATAGTTACTTGTATTGCACAGACAAGCAGGCTTTCATAAATAATGTCTCATTAACAAACAGAACCTATAGAGTCCTTGCATATGACGTCACGGATAGTTCAGTATGAAACCATCCGCCATTGAGGTGTACAGGCCCACATTCAAAATGGCGGTGTGTGCTGTGAAAGGTTGTGATACTTGAAGTGGTAGATCTAAAGGATTCCTCTAATTCGACCGCCAAAGGTTATATTTAACCAAGGTGATAGAGATCATCAGTCAACAGAATGTAGACGCGTCAAGTTTTAGCCAATATTTATCAGAGTTATATGAGTGAAGCAGCAGCAAATCAAATGCGAATATGTTCTCGACACTTTTTGCTCCTCTCAAAATTTCTCACCTCCATGATTCCCAGCCCCCGCTTGTTTCTAATCCATCATCTCTTTGTAGGTAACAGAGATTAATGTTCTTGGATCTCAGCCAATCAGACATAGCATCACTTAGGTAATTTATTACCCTCAGGGTCCAGCAGGGAGAACAAAGGAGAAATCAGTCCAACTGATCTGCATCTATATTTAACTAAACTAGGTCCAGTATCTGATACATATTACTGTTATAAGACACAGTAGGTAATTTATTATAGCCTTCTACTACAAAAATATCAACTACTTGCTAGTAAAATAGTATAAACTGTTTAAAATTTAATTAAAGTAGCAGATTCTAGATCTAAGCCTGGTCATACAATCTATTTCAATTTCAGATAATTTCATTTGCTAAATGAAATGATTAGCACTTAGAGCTAGATTCTAGATCTTAGAGACAATTAAATTTTATTATTAGACCTATTTTTTTATTTATTATTGGTGTATTTTGAATCAAATATAGATCTAAATTTTGTAATTAAATTTAATTAAATAAGTAGATTATATGTCTACCTAATGGAGCAAGTCACACTAAATCAGTGGTTCCCAAACTTTTTCGAGTGGCAACCCTTTTTAAAAAAAGGGAGTGACCCGCGACTCCAATAGAATTAAAAAGCCGGAATGAGAAAGGAAATTAATAAAAACTAAAATAAGAATTTCTAGTAGGAAATATGAATCATTCTTGATGTTTTAATACGATGAGTAAAATTACATGCTATTAACAAGCCTTAACATTCGCTGTTGAGTTTTTGTTAACGCCAACCTCATGTCATTATCAACATTTATTTCATTTCTTTGTTTTGTTTTTAATTCGAGAAGTGTTGAAAATCTATTCTTGCAAAGATATGTAGACGAAAAAGGAGCTAAGACTTGAAAGGCTATCAATTTCACATTTGAGTATGAATGGTGCATACTACACCAACATTGTGTGAGCAGTTTTTCGTTACACATTAGGTAACGCGGAATCTTTCCGCAACTTTAAGAATGTGTCTGGCAATTCATTGGGAATCAAGAGAAGTAGAAAATACGTAACGTATCAATGCAGATTCTTCTAACAAACGCCACAGTTCATTTTCGAGATATTCAAGATGCCCAGAATCCTCTTAACTTTTTGTTCTCAAAATCAGATTCATCTACCACAGCAGAGTTTCTCAAACATTGCAATATCTCCAAGATTTATTTTTCTTCGTCAATTTTGCAGCTTTGATAAAAATCACATGAGATTTTCATGAAAAGAGATAATATTTGTTTATTTTCCATGAAGCGTCAGGTTAAGCTTATGTTGATGTTCAAATATATCTGCTAGGAATGATACTCTCTTCAACCACTCTTAGTCGTTAAAGTATATCAAAAGGTCTTGTTTCCCTTGCACATCTAAGAACAACTTGATTTCATCTTTCAATTCAAAAACACGATTCACAACATTTCCTTTTGATATCAAGCATACTGTAGTGTAGAAAACCGGAACCTCTTTATTCCTGTTTATGCACAGTTCTTGAAACAGACTGTTATTAGGGCTCCAGATTTAATATAATTTTTTACTTTTAGCAATGAAGTTGGAAGAGTTTTGCTAGCAAGGGCATACCTTTGAATAATTAGGGAGCTAAATATTTACAACGTAGATGGCACACCATCCGTACAAACCCCACAGCCATTTTTCCCATTTTAAGCATCCAATTTTTAAAAAATATTAATTTTTGCCAATATATCTTCACAAAATAGCACAGACATGCCTACCTCTGTCAGCCAAAAGTAGGAACAGTTATGCCTAAAAAGAGGAATTTGAAGCCAAAAAGAGGAACATATGCGCTGAAGCAACTTTACTAAGTCAAAAATAAAAATAATTAATTAAAAATTACTTTAATGACATTAGTAGGCCTCTAGTCCTATATAACTAGTCTCTAGGATACATTTAAATACTGCTTAATGTCAGCTTACATTTAAAAAAATAAATTAACCAGTAACCCCCCCCCCCCCCTACCCCCGAATAAAAATCATAGCTTTGACATAACATTATTGATTTGATTATTTATGTCTTGCTATGTTCTATGCTATATGTATAACAAATGCTGAAGGCTTCATCATATGTAATATATAAGTTACGAGCAAAGACCCTTGATCTACCTAGTAAAACTCCTAGTTACTTCTTACTAAGTTCTTCATAATAGTAGTTACTAGTTAAGTTAAACTTACAAGATAGATTAGTATTCACTATTTCAGTATCTACTAGTAGATCTAGTAGTAGTAGAAATACTACTAACTAGATCTAAATCTAGTATTAGATGATACTGGTAAATATTGTAAGTAAACTAGGAAACAGAAACGTGTGCCAAAGGGAGATAATCGCTTTTTCATGACATTTTTTTCAATTTACTTTATTACCATTCTTTATTACTTTTTTTTTTTTTTAAATCGGAACCAAATGAGTCAATTTCGGAATGACGGAACAAATGACTTTTTTAGGTGAAAAAGCGGGACGGTTCCGATTTTCGCGGGACGGTAGGCATGTCTGATAGCAACTCTTCATTGATATCATAGGAATAAATATATTTCACAAAGACAAGCAACAGCTAACACAAACTCACGTCTGTTGAAAAGCAAACAATGGTGAAGGCTTGATTTCATTCAAAATTTGTTCTGTAACACATTCGGACATATCTGCTATATGCCGCTGGATATAGTATTAATAGACACAGATATTTGTTGTATCTTTACTGTGATGGTGGATTTTTACATGGTGAATGATATGTGACGTCATATGCAAGGACTCCATATCATAGCCAGATAGCCAAAGCACAAAAAGTTTGGTCTACAGCCCCACCCAGCTCTCTATACAAGAAAAAATATTTTTTCCTGACTACCTGCAACCTCTGATTAACTTGATGAAAAATAGTGGATAATGTCGGGTGGTAGGCCTATACAGTGTCCATGTGATATCACACTTTCAACAAATAACAATATATAAAAAAATTTGTAGTAAACCCATCGTGTAAAAGATCACTTCTAAAATTGACTTTTATTTCAATCAGACTTTATGAGATCTTAACTGAATTTTATAAATTCTAGACTTTTCACCAACTCTAGTATTGGCCCATTTTGATTTTGTAAAATAGGTCTTAAAATAAATTCTTTTATTTTTTCTATCTTTGGCTAAACAGAAAAATGGATAATCAAAAAAGATTTCATATTTACTTAAAAATAAGTCAATCAGCTGAAAAATATTGATTTTTTCAGCAGAATATTTTTCTCAAATGGAAAAAGAGGAAAAGTTACATATCTGAACACAACTTTAAAATCTTATGGGGAATCTTGTGGGGAAGTGCTGTAGACCTATTTTGTTTCAGAAAAACTTACCATTATCTTTAATGTGTATAAACTTGGCTATTTTGGCCCAAATTCTGTAATAAAAGTAGCGCACTTGGGTTTTGTCTTTCAATGGAAATCCCCGTACTTTGGCAGCAGCTGAGATTTTGTTACTGATAGCTTCAAAATTTCTGCCATACTGGAAATGTACAAATTCACTTAGCTTCAATAAAAAATAAATCAATATGAACATTTTGATAATGAGCTTGTAAAATCTTTACCTTTTCCAAGCCAAGAAAGAAGAGTTTTTTATCACGAATACTCCACTGTGCACATGGTCTCCGGATCTTTTTTTTACCTTTCTTATTTCCTTGCTTGGCTAAAAAACATCAATACTTTACATTTTACTAATAATAATCTCACATTCTTTAAGTAATTAAAAAAGAATTTTTTTTAGCAGCCCTAGAACTTCAATTTCTAGTCTTAAACTAAAAGGTATAAACAAAAATGAAAGTTTTTAAATAACTAAAAGTTTAATATAAGCCTAAATAGTTAAAATAACCACTATATTAAGTAAAATAAGACCTGAATTAAATTAGATAAATCACTATTGCAATCTCTGATAATCTAATTTTAAAATGATCACTATCTATATATATAATTCTCTTCTTGGAGACGCTAGAAAACACCTAGCTGTAAGCGCGCTCCCTACCACCCCCACCCCTACATGGTCTGGTGAACTGTGGTTCACGCTAAATGTTTACAATCGTAGAGCCGGGTTTAGTGACGGCTATTAGGGGCAGATAATGTAGTTTGAAATGAATTTAAACTTAGTGGAGGTAACTAAAAGGAGTTTGCTTTCAAGGGGGGGGGGGGGGGGGGAATGGGTGGGTAATTGGGGGTGGAAAGGAGGGGGGAATCGTCCTTAACGACCATCTGATAGTGTTTTAAGAAAATATATTTTCAGCTGCAGCATTGGTACTGTCGAATTCACAAATTATGAATTACTGAAAAGTAGAAAATAAAACAACTAAATAGCGGCGTATGATACGCCGCGGGTCGGCTCGTTTTTTTTATATTTGTAAAGGCTTAACTACTTACCAGGCTTTGGTTTTTTTGGTGTTGTCTGAGATTTTAAGGGTAGAATGACATTTTCAGGTTCCTCTACATCCCCTACGCGATTACGTTTGATGCTCAGTCTTTCACTAATTCTAACTGGCTTTGGATTGTCATCTTTTGTTTTGAAATCAAAAGATATTTCACTGCATGTTTTTACAAAAGATGATTTATCAACTGCATTATCATCTGTAACCAGCACAGCTTCAAGTGAATGACTGTTAGCAACACTTAAGAGAGTCTCTGAAGTCGAACTACAATCAATGGGTTTGAAAAATAATTGTTAATTAGAGCTAATTAATTTACAATGAACAGTACAAGTTAACATTGCTCTGGGCTAAATATTCTAAAAGATTCAAGAAAATTTAAAGGAGAAGTAACGTCACGTCTAGCTTTTTAAAAAAAGATGCCTGCTGCTTTTTATTTGCTAATATTAGGTTGTTGCGTGTACTTGATTTATTATGGGGTCATCCATAAATGACGTCATGCTTTTTTGATGATTTTTACATCCCCCCTCCCTTCCGTCACACATTGTCACAAAAAGCAAGACCCCCCCCTAAAATGACGTCACACCTTAGCCTACAACCCCACCCCCCTCAAAATTGCAGTTGAATTTTTCTTAAAACATCGATATTTTTCCAAAATCTTGTCTGAACTCTCTCAACATAGAGTATTTTAATCAATTCCTATCACAATTTATTAAAACAGTTTTCTAAAACGCGAAATAATGGCTAAAATTCGTTTTCCAACATTACTTTTGGTTAATGCAAAAATGTGACGTCCCACCATCTGAACCCCCCCTCCTCCCCTCATCACACGCTGTCACAAAATTACGGACCCGCTCTCCCCCCTACAAGTGTGACGTCATTTATGGACGACCCCCTATGGTCACCATTGTAAATAAATTTAAAATATGTTCATCAAAAAAGATAAACCTTCACTTAATCTAGGCCTATAGATCTAGACTAGATCTATATACTAGGCCTATATACTATATAGTATATAATACTATATATCTATATATATAATTCTCTTCTGGGAGCCGTTAGAAAACAAGCTGCAAGCGCCTCCTTGCAGTCCCCTCTCTTTCTCTCTATCACTATCACTACCACCCCCACATTGTCTGGTGAGTTGTGGTCACGCTAAATGTTTACAAAGCTAAATGTTTACAAATCGTAGAGCCGTAGAGCCGGGTTTCTATTAGGGGCAGATAATTTTTGGTACTGTCGAATTCACAAATTATGAATTACTGAAAAGTAGAAAATAAAACATCTAAATAGCGGCGCATGATACGCTGCGGGTCGGCTCGTATAGTAGTAGTAGTATAATATAGGCCCTATACTCAGTATAGGGCCTATATTATACTACTACTATACTCAACTATACTGCCCTATAGTGGCTATAGTCTATAGGCCTACCTAGTAGGCCCCTATCTATATTAATAATATAATAGGGCCTAATATATATATATTATATATTATTATTAGGCCTACTATTAGTATATTAGGCCTAGGCCTATATAGGCCTATATACTATATATTAATATAAGGCCGATTCTAGTCGGAATAAGATACGAATGCGATACGCATGCGCAATGGAGAGAAACTACGACTTGCCTTAGCGGCGATGTTTTCGATGGTACTGCGCATGCGTGTGTTTACAACCGCAGAACCCTAACACCAACCCTAATCCTATCCTTAACCCTATCCCTAATCATATCCCTAACCCTAACCCTAATCCTATCCCTAACCCTAGCCCTAATCCTATCCCTAACCCTAATCCTATCCCTAACTCTATCCCTAATCCTAACCTGGATGATATTTCAAGTCGTCCCTTTGAATCCCGGACAGATCGTCCCCCCGGCGTGGCCTCAGCCAACCGGCGGGCTCGTTGCATTGAGTTAAATATAAACTCAAAACAATAATATAAACAATCTCCTTTTAGGTCGGTCAGGCCACATACCAGGCACGCACAGTGTTGTGTCGTGCCTTAACCAAAATAAACTATCTCCCTTCATTATCATTAGATATATTTAATTAGTTAATTAATTAATTAGCTAATTTATAAAATTATGTATGATGCTATAGCAGTAGGTAAGTTACGGTAAGTATAATTTTTTAAACTATGTATTTGTACTATTAAAGAAACACCTTCGTTGTTTGAATACCACCCCCTCCCCTTCTTGAACTCAAAGTTAAACTTTTAACCCCGTTCGTAGAGACATGCGGTATGTTGTAAGGCGGCGGGTGGGTAGGGTATATACTCATTGAAGAAAAAATCCACTGTGGTGCGTGTTATTGGCCTTGGGCCTTCGGTGACGTTGTTGGCGTTTGCTGTGAGGGGGAGAGGGGTGTGTTATATCCGTTTAAAAAAATCGCAACATGGTATTGGCCTATGATGACGTCGGCGCAAGCGGGGAGGGGGGGGGGGGAAGACACTTTTTTTTTTAAAAACCAAGAACTAGGCGTTTAAAGGCTGTATTGAAAATCAAGGACTGGTATAGCCATGGTGTCGAATTTAACGAGTGATGCTTGCTGGGTCTATCATACGATTGCTTGGCGATGGGAATCTCGTCAAGCTCAGTTTATATTTACAGTGAACTATTGGGATGCTTTCATACACAAAGTAACAGCTACCGAATGTAGCACTTAAAACATCGAGTGCATCCCGCTCATTATAAATTTGAAATACAAGTTATGGATTGTCCAAAAACTTGAAGGACTATCAGAATATATGCATTGTATTATAACATTAATCATTATGATATAACTAAAATGTGTATCCAAATATTTTTAGGCTAACAGGATCTGCATTTAAATAAACAAGACCTATTAGGCTACTTGTGCATGGTAGCACAACTACATTTTTAGATTTCATAATGAGTAGCCTAGTCGTGCATTAAAGGGCTGTACTCAATAACAGGGGTCTCCAAACTACGGCCCGCGGGCCGGATGCGGCCCGCGAGGTCCTCTCATCCGGCCCGCGGAGATCTTTTTGTCCACGGAAAAAAAAACGTTTGTTGGAGTTGGCTGAGCAACTTGCTCAGAAAATCACGACATGCCTGGAAGAAACTGGCCCCCGAAATGAAATTTGATAGTTAACTCGGCCCTCGGACTGAAAAGTTTGGAGACCCCTGCTCAATAACAATGAAAAAAATGAAATGCCGGCTTCAAACTTCAAGCTATGATTTCCCCGTATTCTTCTACTAGAAATCTAGCTCCGTTGTTCTAATGACCTCACCCTCCTCCTCTCACCTAGTTCAATTTAAAGTTACACTTTCAACCCCGTTAGGATGCGTGAACTACTGATGACCTAACTATTGAAAAAAAAAACTATTCTGGCGTTAAATTGCCCTCCCCTACTCGCAGCACTTTGGGGCCATACACATCAGGAAGGTCTAGGTCGGTGTTGTATCTCGTGCAAATTTACTCACAACATGACTACACACTATGGTTGTATCCAGGACTAAAGCTGCGACACTCGCATAGAGTTGGATTTATTCATTAGATCATTGTGCTTCAAATTCTGTTTCAATATTGGATTAGATGGATACAATGTTGGAATTCAGTTAGTTTGTTATATTATATTTATCTAAATGTTGTGTACCATCAGAAACTAAATTGGTTGACAAGACACATGTGTAGGCTAAAGAATGACCTCTAGATCGAGCCAAAGATGGCTGGTTAAGGTTGACAAACTGTGGTTTTCAAATTTCATGGTGATGCTTTTCTGAAGGATTTTATTTTGTGCTTTCTTTGGGATTATTTTGTGTGATGTGATTATTCAGAAGTAATTTGTAAGTAGAAGCTTTTCACATCCAACCATTTTAACAGTTTGCGATTGATCTGCGGCTGGGCTGATTAATTTACATTTAGCGAAACTACACACTACACGGCGCCCTCAGGCCGTTGTTTCAGCATGCCCTACTAGTCAATTATAGACAACTTTAGAATCAATACATAGAGCCAACACACCGATTTTTATTTAATAATCTTCAAGAGCCATTCCTCTAGGGTCGTTATTTTCACGAAATTGTCGTTTTCCATTTTGTTGTCAAGAAACTGGTATTTAGTTCACGAGAACGTATGAAAACCACTCATGCGTGACCGAAATCGTCGATTGGGTGCCTTCACGAGGTTTGACACGTGTTGACCTAGGCCATTGTTTACATCCAAAAATCACCCAAAACGGCCTTTTTTCGAAAAATTTGTTTGAAAAAATGGCTAAGTCCAGTTTTAAAAAGTGTCATTTTCGGGCCCATTTTAAAAAACGTAAAAAAATCCGAACTACACGTAGAAAAAAATGGCTTTTTCGGCCCTTTTTAGCTCCAAAAACGCGTCGCGTAACGTCAGCCGCCAACCAAAACGCGGAGAAAGCGCGCGTTTGATTGGTTGGCGGCTGACACTATGAAATCCTCTAAGGACGATTCGAATGGTATACCCCTAACCCTCATTCTAGCCCTAACCCTAGGTCACTGCGCATAACTATCTTTTGCCGACTAAATGGAGACGTTGGGGAGAAAAATCTTCCGAGTAGACACTTCGTTAATATTACATAACAAAACTAATTTTAAAACCTTAGGCCTAATATTTAATATTAAATTAGTCTATTAGGCTAATAATAATTTAACAATTTTAATTTAACACACTATCACTAATGCACTGAAAATAAGAAAACTTTTTTTTAATTTGATAAAATCATTGAAATGCTAGTACTAGATCTAGATCTAGTACTTAGTTAAAATAGTACCGTTTACTACAACTATCTCTGCCAACTGCCTCATCTAGAGATAATTTTCGACGCTTCGGTGCCATGTCTCAATTAGATGTAGACTCTAGATTAGATCTAGATCTAGTTGTTCTTACAGCTTAGAAAAGAATAAAAATTAGATCTAGATCTAGATCTAGAATACTAGAATTAGGTAGAATTCTCGACTAGATCTAGAATCTAGTACTGACTGTAATAGAGTAATAGCCCCTGTGTAGAGCAGATTACCACAGCTGGTTGGCCAGGACCTTGACTTGATTTAACTTTCTAAACTGCTCCTCATTTTTATGTAACTATTAAATCTATAACTAGATTCTAGATCTAGATCTAAATATTTAGTAAATATCCCTATGGGTTTATTAAAGTGTAGTGTAAATCATAGTTTGTTATTATTTTTAACAACAAAGCTCTAAATCTAGATTCTAGATCTAGAATTTAGTTAGTCGATATCAAAATTCTAGAAACAATAAAATCGGATGTAAAAATAATTAGACTAGATTTCTTGACTCTATATTAGATTCTATATCCAGATATCTGATCCAGATCTGGATTCTAGATCTAGATCTAGGCCTGATCAATATTAGATTAGATTTAGATTTATATCGATCTAGATCTCTCTAGATTTAGATTTTTTATAATACTAAAATACAGTTATTTTAAACAAGTTTCGTTTGTTTGGCCTAACCCTAGCCCTAATTAGATCTAGTAATATTACAAACTGACAAGTTTCAAACAACTAACCCTTCAAATTTCACTGATATAATCAAACTGATGCACACACACACACAAATTGTTAATAAAGACTTGCGTACCCGTCCCCGCGCGTTGCCGCGGGGATAGAAGTAAGTCTGACGATATAATTAAGACGGGTTTCATCAATGCGTTCATAGATGCGTGAACTTCTTTTCTAAAACTGAGTTATTTAAATGTAAAGATGCATGCGCTTGGGCCTAGGATCATAATTATCGGGACACGGGTTTACCTACACTACCGCATGAAAACCTTGAGTGTGCGATAATAACTCAGCGAATTAATGAGGTAGAACACACTTCGGTGACCACCCTTGTATCAAGGACGTAGAGGGGCGATCTCGGGAGCCCCCAGTTACACTACCGCAGAGGTGCCGCGTACGGCCCCTTGCTACTTAAAACTAACATAGGCACCATCGTGCTCATTGGATAACCCGGAGTGCCAAATAGCATCCTGTTAACAATCATGCAGATTGCGTCATTCACTAGACTGACACAAATTCGAACAGTGTTTTTAGCGCAATTTCCATACTGGCAATTGCGTTTAATAATGCGTCATTTCTGGATGGATGGATGTGTGGATGTCTGTCCGCAGCTTTAAGTCGTATCTCCTCCTCAACGAAGCAATATCGAGGACTAGTTCCAAAGCAAATATGTTAAGCAAGTTCCGAGGATGATAGTGGGCCAAAAAATTCCCGGAATTCCCTCCTGGATTTCCCGGAAAAGTAAAAAAAACCTCGAAAAATGCAGTTTTTTGCCCATATTTCGGCAACCAGACCACTTAGCGACTTGAAACATTTACCAATCGATTCCTGCCATAATTTAGAACAATATTGCCGAAGAAAGTTTTTAAAAATATCCTTTCGTTCGGTCACAAAAAATTAATTAAGAAATATTTACTACTTTTTAAATCTGAGCATCGTGTAGGCCTACTCGTTGATATAGGTTAATATAGTTGTCTTTTTTTAGCGCAATTTCCATTCTGGAGAATTGCGATTATTAACTCGTCATTTCTGGGAATGGATGGATGGATGGATGGATGTCCGCAGGTTTAAGTCGTATCTCCTCCTCAACGAAGCAATATCGAGGACTAGTTCCAAAAGCAAATATGTTAAGCAAGTTCCGAGGATGATTGGGGCCAAAAAAATTCCCGGAATTCTTTCCTGGATTTCCCGGAAAAGCCAAAAAAAAAAACTCGAAAAAATGCAGTTTTTTTACTCATATCTCGGCAACCAGACCACTTAGCGACTTGAAACATTTACCAATCGATTCCTGCCATAATTTAGAACAATATTGCCGAAGAAAGTTTTCAAAAATATCCTTTCGTTCGGTCACAATTTTTTTTTAAAAATTACATTATTCATAATACATTACAGTACTATATAGCAAAGAAGGCAGTGTAAGGCGAAGGAGGAGGAGGGTAAATCATGTGACCTGGCTGGCTTAGCAGCGAACTGCGCGAGCCGCAGGCGAAGGAGGAGGAGGGTAAATCATGTGACCTGGCTGGCTTAGCAGCGAACTGCGCGAGCAGTTCTATATAGCAATATAGAGAGCGCGACAACTAAATACCCCCTACACGTCCGCAAATTTTTAAAAATCTCGTTTAAAATGAGCATCTTGTAGGCCTACTCGTTAAAATAAAACTATTTCCGTTGACGTAGAGTAAAGCACACCCCCCCCCCCGGCCTGCAAAAATTCTATACCATTCTCACAATTATTAAGACTGCGACGTATTTGTCAAGATGATGACGAATTTTGGATCAAGGCCCATGAGCTACTACAGTTCTTCCGACTCCGGTCATACCCGGAGCATATACTCCAGTCAGCACTACACCGCATAACAACTGTTGACCACCAAGCCTCCCTTCAACAATTTCCAAAACAAAAAAAAGATAGAAGTAAACTCATCTTACCCTATCATCCTCATTCAGTTTTGGCTAAAAATATCATTATAAAAAATTATTCTATCCTCAAGTCAGACCCCCCATTTAGGCCATTTATTTCAACAGAATCCTTTGGTTGTGTATAGAAGGGAACGCAACCTTAGAGACCTTTTGGTTCGCAGCCGCCTGCCACCCACTACCAACACCGGTTTTGGCACCACTCCTTGTCCCCGTAAATGCAATACCTGTCATTTCACCCTTCAGGTTGAATCACTGCAGCTGCCGAAGGGAACCCTCAAAATTAAAAATCACTTCAACTGTGAGTCCCGCAACGTAGTTTACGTCATCCAGTGCAGGCGTTGCAACATCTTTTATATCGGACAAACGGGGAAAAGATTGTCTGACAGGGTTAGCCAACACCTGCGATCAATCAACAATGAAGACGGTCTTCCTGTGGCCAAACACTTCAACAAGAGTGGGCATGACTTAAAAAAGGACTTTTGTGTAACCGCCGTTCGGTTTTGCCACAATTTTAAAAATCGCCTTAGCACTGAAACGCGACTAATACTTAAATTTGGTACACGGGCACCCGATGGCTTGAATGAACAGATATCTTTCACCGAACAACCCCCCCTCCCGCATACACCACGCCCCCAACCCCACCCCTATACGGTGTCCAAGCGTCCTTCTCACACGTCTTTTCTTTTGGATATCGTGGCTAGCAGACAAGACGTGTTTTCACTGTCGAGCTAAGTCAAAAAATGTGTTACTGTTTGTCTTTATTTGTCTAATCTGTAATCACACTGTTGTGTGCTGACGAAGACCATGGGTCGAAACGTCCATAGTACTTGTAACTGTCTTTAACTTGTGAGGTAACTAATACTATCTGTTTTATTACTAATTACATTAACCTCACTGCAGCTACCATTTGTTTTTTTAATACTTGTAAAATAAACCGGGAGTTATCTCCCCTAAACTTTCTCGAATATTCTTATGTAACACTACGTGGGATGGCAACTCGGAATGTAAACATGATTTTTAATTACTTAAACTTTTAAAATAGAATAGAATCTCGTAGAAAAAAGAATTGCGCACAAGCGAACGCCAAAACAAATAGTGCATAATAGTGCGGAATATTATTAGTACTTTATAAATTTACATGCGTTTTTGAGAAATCGGAAATAGCGTAAATTACTACTTCCGATCAACGGAAATTACTCAAAATTTGGTAAAAGGTAGAGGATTATATCTTTTACTTAGATATTTGTAATAGATTGGGATAATTGTGAGGTCAAGGGAACTCACTCTTCTGTATTAGTATTATATTTATGTTGTTATCTTGAGTGATGTCCCTTGGGCATTGTACTTCCTTCCCCCCTCTTTGCATCATGGCCGGTCTGTAAATAAAAGCTGTTTTACATATTGATGGCTTCTGTCTCCGTTGTATACATAATCTACCTCATTTGGCGACGAAGGATAAACATCTACTAGAAAGAGCACCTACTTAAGCAAAAAAGAGGTTTGCTAGAGCTTATTAGCTAATTATTTCTAGAATAATGGCGCTGTATGGCCAAATAAAGCAATTTGATGCGAATGATGAAATCATTCAAGATTACCTAGAGAGGTTAAGCTTTTACCTAGAAGCAAACAACGTGAAGATAGAAGCCAAAAAGAGAGCTGTTTTGTTAACAGTCATAGGGCCTCAACAATTTAGGCTACTAAAAGACTTATGCGCACCAGCTAGTTTAACTACCAAGAGCTTTAACGAGCTGAGCAAATTGCTTACAGACCACCATGCGCCTGTGCCATCAAAGTTTTTATGTCGAGCTAGATTTGACAGTAGGACTCGTCAACCAAACGAGTCAATATCAGAATATGTTGCTGCTTTACGTCATTTAAGTAGATTCTGTGAATTTGGAGAAACGCTGTCTGACAGACTATGTGAAAAGTTTGTGACAGGTGTAAACAGCCCTGATATTCAAAGAAAGTTGCTGCTCGAGTCAGATCTAAAATTGGAAAAAGCAATACAACTTGCAATGTCATTCCAGCAGTCATCAGATGCGGCGAGATCTTTAGCACCTTCAGAGATCCATGCAGTAAACAGCAAGTTAGTCAACAAACACCAACCCTATCAGAGCATTCCAACTTATGCTAAACAGCCTGCTCGTTCAAATCCTAGATCTAAATCTAGTAATAATTATCAAAAATGTCATCGATGCAAGGGTCCCCATGCATCTCATCGGTGCAAGTTCAAGTTAGCAACTTGTTATAAGTGCGGTAAGCAAGGTCACATTGCTAAGGCCTGCTTTGCAAAGTCTTCGTCTGTTGCTAAATCTAGCCAGTCAAGACAGTACCGCAACCAAAAGCAGCACTATGTTAACTCTCACCAAGAATACCTAACCCAACCAATGAACCACTCTACCTGTGAAAATGCTCAAACTGATTTGCAGCCGGATTTCAACCTATTCTCTGTGAAATCAATAAGTCATGCTCCCATCAATGTACCAGTTAATATCAACGGTAAGAGCATCAGCTTCCAACTTGACACTGGAGCATCTCTAACAGTCATAACAAAGAAAGATTTTGACGC